AGATATTTATTTTATTTTATATGCGGTTTATGCAATTATTGACTCTAAGAAAGACATTGATTGAGCTAATTTTTTATAGATGACCGACTATTGAACTTTTCACTCCAACCATTTTACAGAATTTGCGGTACATTAGTACAGTCAGGGGCATACAAACTAAATTTAGTTAAAATCACGTTGTCTAAGTAATTGTGCTGTGCGCATAAAAGTTACTTATTTCGTTGATAGTTCCGGCTACAAATTTCTTCTCATCGAGTACCGGGAACGCAAAGAAGAATTTTTTCTGATGCTGCTCCGGAAATAATTCTTTTTCACAATAATAAATTCGTCGTCTCCTGTGAGGCTGGTAGATAAATATGCTTCGTCACGTAGCTAGCTTATACTTTACGTCATTTTCCTGTTAAGCATTAAAGTTAATCAATCCGATTCTTCTATTTATTTACTCTGACTCACCATTAGTTATAGAGAAGGAAATATATGAAAGGGATTCATGGTTCGCCGGTAAGAATAACTGATCAAATATACTGACGTGGGAGAACCGTACGTAGTCATGACCAAGGCGCGAACGCTCCCTATAGCTGTACGTGATCCCGATCAGGTTCACAGGTTCATTGTCTCGGAAGCCGTTGAAGTCATGAAAATTTCCAGGATATCAAAGGAATTTTTGCTCGTTAAAACTGATCCTGTTTTCATATCTCCAGCACTCATGGCTGTCAGATAGAAATCGAATAATTTCGTTAGAGCAGTTCGAAATCTTTCAAATAGCTGCAACATCAGTTTTGTTAAGTTCGCTAAAACACGAAACATAAGTTATGTGTAGTTAACTATATAATGCTACTACTGTATGGTATATTTCTATACCACACGAAACACATGTGATCTGTATTTAATCGTATATACTGCTACTAGTGAATAGTATTGTTCTATCATGCACCACGCATTCGTATTTGTAGTTATAGATAATAAATTTAATGGCGCTATTTCTCCTCCCCGATTGAATTGAGTTAAATTCAGCCTAGTGTTTATTATAATATGTGGTTTGTGCCGCCAATTTTAAACCTGTATTGGGAACTCGTTTTGAGATAGCTTGATCTCATCCAAGGACACTTCGTTAGTTAAGGACCAACAACTTATGTTTATTATAAAATCTGCCCAGTTACATGCAGCGGCTGCTCAAGATATTTATGCATTATTTGGCTCAATCATTTAATCTTCGATTCAATGCACGCACGAACTATTAATTTTAATCTAAGAGTGGCATTGGAATGGTTATATTTCAACGGCTGAATCCGGACCGCGCAATTCTCGCGCCTTCATTGAGCATTTAGTGGCAAAAAAATAAATTTTAGACTAAAATTCTCTTGTTCTATTCAATATAATTATACAACTAATACAAAGTCATGCAGTTTTAAAACGTATTTTTTCGGCTGGATCCGCTGCGCATAAAACCACTTTGTATGCATGAAGAAGTTTACAGTTTTTAGTAATGCAATATTATGACTTATTAATATTCATAGTAACTGCAGATTTGGCATCCAACAAACGGATATAAGAATAAAAAATTGAATTAAATTGATTATTACTAAATTATTAATTTCTATAATTTTTTTTATTGAGATTCCTTCATGAAAACTTATTAATTTACGTAGTTCGCAGTTGGGATGCGCGTATGCTAAACACTTTTATGTGACGGAGTACGCGACATGACGCATTCCACATGCTTGTCGTGGCTGAGGCAACATATGTTGTGGCTGCTGCCGTGGCTTAGCCAACATATGTTGTGGCTGCTGCCGTGGCTTAGCCAACATATGTTGTGGCGGCTGCCGTGGCTGAGGCAACATATGTTGTGGCGATTGCCGTGGCTGAGGCAACATATGTTGTGGCGGCTGCCGTGGCTGAGGCGACATATGTTGTGGCGGCTGCCGTGGCTGAGGCAACATATGTTGTGGAGGCTGCCGTGGCTGAGGCAACATATGTTGTGGCGGCTGCCGTGGCTGAGGCAACATATGTTGTGGCTGCTGCCGTGGCTGAGGCAACATATGTTGTTGCAACATATGTTGTGGCTGCTGCCGTGGCTGAGGCAACATATGTTTTGGCGGCTGCCGTGGCTGCTGCCGTGGCTGAGGCAACATATGTTGTGGCGGCACACATGGCGGGTGCCACATATGTTGTGGCGGCACACATGGCGGGTGCCACATTGCCACAGGTAAGCCACTCCAAGGTGAGCTCGCACGCTGAGCCGAGAAGCTCTTCAGTCGCTCGCTGGACGTCGTGGTGTGTAGTTGTGTCGCTCAGCTCCTCTTGAGTTATTCAGTGCTTATAGCTTGTTGGAAATTGTTAGCATTTGATTGTGAGTTTTCCTCGACTAGGCAATGGGAGTCATCACTTATACAGTAAGTGTTACGATATATCAGCTACATATACATTATTTTCCTGGCGTTGGCAAAAAGTGACATGAGAATGTAAGTTTTCTTTTGTTCTACTTGATTTGACTTGCGGTCGCTCGAGAAAACGGTGCTCGATGTTTAATTTTTCTGATTCTGACTGCAGTGCCACAAAGTTCATTCCCAAATCAAGGTTAAATTCTAATAATATTTGGTAATTTTTTTCATTAGTAGTTAGTTAATTGCTGTAATTTCATCACACATACATAATAACTTAATTTCTCCAGAAATTTTGTTGAAACAGATATTTGAGGCTCAGTAATTCATATATGATTTTATATTAAGGAAATCTACTCACATTGAATGGTTAATAACACGAGGAATTCATCTGTGAAAATGAATGATTGTATATACATATCAACCGATAATATTATATACGCTAATCAGGAAATTGTAATATAAGAAGATAATGAACGGATTGTGTCTAATAACAGAAATGACGAATAACGATTGTAACTTAAATAAAAAATGATATTATTTACTAAGCTCCTTTATAGGGACTAACCAATCTTCACTCCTTGAAAGCATTACTAATCTTACCATTATGTAAGGAGCAGCAATCATCTATTGCTAGGTACGTGGGTATTGGGTAGTATATATACATAGTAGCAAGCGTGGTGATGAGTAGTAAACCTTACAAAAGGAAGGAGTATCAATAATTCTTCCGACTTGAAAGTAGAAGCAATCTAAACACATTGTAGATAACAGCAATGTAAATAACTTGTATTGGTGCCTTCAAAACTCCGTTCAACCCTCGGTTATTTCAACATTCCGTTCACTCGGTAGTTATTTAAACATTCTCTTCACCCAGCAGATATTTCAACATTCCGTTCACCCAGCAGTTATTCCAATATTCCGTTCACCCAGCAGTTATTTCAATATTCCGTTCACCCAGCAGTTATTTCAATATTTGGGTTTAAACTTTGTAAGCGGGGCGATGCTGTCGACAGTTATTGTAAAATTTTATAATAATATAACAGATGAACAATTCTAACGCGCAGACATACTGTGATAGCCAATTAGTTTTTGGAAAATTTATTTTACGCTTGTTGTTTTAATTAACGGTTCGATTGGCTGTAGCGCCACAAGAGATCGATATTTAATGAGACTGTTCTAGAGGATCATTAACTTTGTCAATAAATATAGACCAACAACTGAAGCGTGTGTGAATTATAATTCGTGTTAAAATTATTCCGTTTGAATCGTTCTAACTGGTATCGTAAACCCGTTTGTGTCAAGGGCACCGTGAATTTCAGTCGTGTTGATTCAAGGCTTTTGATCTCTTGGTGTCACTCATGCGAGGGACGCTTAGGACCGTTGATCTTACATCGTTACGAATTAATCGTAAGGTTCATTGTAGCATTGCACCGTGGGCTTTGTTCTCGGTCTCCCATTACCTGGGCCTATTTAGTTCCAATGGACCTTGTTGTGTCTGCAAATAGAGGGGCTGTTGAACTGCACCTCTCTACACAGAGAACTGTAAAAATGTCCAACTCTGCATGGAAAGATATCCGTGAAAGTGTCCAACTCTAGACAGAAGCCTGTAAAACTTTACAGTCAGACTCTGGATAGGGGACTGTAAAACTTTTTAGCGTATTGACGTATATCTGCGACATCCCAAACTGGGGTTTGTATCTGAGTACAAATGTTTCTGCGTACACTTTCCGGGAATTTTTTCCAATTCAGAGTGGAATGATGCGAGACTGAAGCTCAGCATCATTTCTCATCCTGAATTTTAGCAGCGTTGACCTGTAATTTTTATTATATAGCAATTAAATTTGAAGGAAATTAAATTTATGGGTAAATTTGATGATAGAACGAAATAAAGTCAGAAAAAGAATAGAATATCTACAACTTTTGTCTTCAGTTCTTTGTCTGGAATATATACAAAATTATAGTAATCATTTTATGGTGTGACATATGGGCGGCCACGTGCAATGGGCACATGACGCCCATACAGAATATGTGCAGGTGTTATGTGTATAGTGGCACTGTTAAATATGTATATATCAGCAGTACACAAGTGCACAAGTGTTATTTGGAACTAACATCTGAATACTATAATAACGGAAAGCTATTCGATTTAAAAATTTGGTTTGGAACTCTGATGTTATGATAGATTGATGTAGCTACATTTGAATTCAAAAGATTGTTTTCGGAAACAACATCACCGTGAAATATCATGCGTCTTTTGTGTTTTGTTTTAAGTAATCTTCAAAATTTGTTGCCTTGATTACTGCAATAAAAAATAATCAAGTCTCTAATTGATAATTTTAATTCAAATTCTTAAATTTTCTCTTCAGTGTTGATTTGAATCCCCATCACATCTTTTTTTAGTGGTTTTTACCCACCGTTATTAAATGAGAAATATCGTTCGAAAATTTTAGTGACGAAGAATTTGATTGATGGTGTAAGATCATCAATTTTGTTTCCTGGATGAATGAGACGTTTATAAGCAGCAATTACAGTTGATGACTCCAAGGTTCATTTTTTCAGTCTCTAAATTTTGACGTTGATTTCATATTGTTAAAAATTTGAAAATTATCTTGATTGCAGGGCTGCAGAGTTGTCAGCTGCGGGAGCAGCAACAGCAGCAGCAGAAGCAGCAGCAGTCGCGCATATGCTGCAGAGCAGCAGGCTGCAGCACCTGCAGCAAATGTAGCTGTGCAGCAGCAGTCTGGTCTCTACATCACAATTACCCGTGAGATGAATTACATTCACATGTAATTAACCGTAACCACTACGATTAAACTGGAGCTGTTATATGAGAGTACAGTACAAACTGGAGCTGTTATATGAGAGTACAGTACAAACTGGAGCTGTTATATGAGAGTACAGTACAAACTGGAGCTGTTATATGAGAGTAAAGTACAAACTGGAGCTGTTATATGAGAGTACAGTACAAACTGGAGCTGTTATATGAGAGTACAGTACAAACTGGACCTGTTATAAGAGAGTACAGTACAAACTGTTGTTTATAAAGAAATAATAAACCGGCATTTGCTCGAGAAAGTTTGAATAATCTTGCACTGATGTAAGATCCTTCGTTATGTTCATGGACATTTGATTAACACCGATTCGTATTTGTTCCTTTAAATGCTTAAGAATTATTACAGTAAAAATCTATGCAATAGTCAATTGTTGACTGAATTTGTTTGTAGTTTCATTAGCAAAAAAATGCACATGTTATATTATATAATATGGGAGCAAGACTATACATTGCACAGGTGCTCAGTGGCGATTGAATTACATTTCCATATCCTGAAATTATGCATTTACACTGCTTCACAGTTCATGAAACTGAAAAAATACTCGTGGCAGATACCGATTATCAAATTAAAGTGGTTTTCTCTCACATATATAAATTATCGGTTTCCATAAGGAATGTAAGGGGAATAGAATGTGAACTTAGAATATTCTATTCAGGGTCTCTCCAGAAAGTTTTTGTTACGTTGCATCATTAAGAGCGTGTCTTGTTTTCTAGTGAATATCAAGCCGATTGATTTATGTTTATGGAATGAAATGACAAATTCATGTATGAATGACACAAATGTTTAAATACAGTGAAAAAGTCAGCCCACAAAGGCCGTTAATTAAGATTTAAACAAATTTGCCTGGCTTTATTTGCAAAGTTTTAGGTTTTCACATGTGAGATGCGTGATGACCTGTCACTGTTCCGACTCATTTATTTCCATCAACAATATTAATATAGACTTGAATTTGTGTTAGAATTTCGGGCTATTTTTCCTCGTTATTCAGACCCAATTGAACTGAAGACACCTGACAGTCCTGGGTTCTGGACATGTTGATGTTTATTGTTTATTCGGATGAGAGAACCAACTCTTTTAAAAATATTTGCCAAAAGCGAGATGCGTTGTTTACCTTTTCGTCAAAGAAATTGCGAATATTGATTAAAGATTGATTAGCTTTTTAATCGTTACTCTTTTCGTATAACTGACCATTGCAAAGAATTTATATTGTAAATCATTTATCAATAGGGATACTTTGAAAAATTTACAAATTTATCATATAAAAAAATTAATTCCAAATGGATTTATTATAATTTTATAAAATTATTTTTTTCATTACGTGCTGTACTGACAGTGTTAATATCAATTTTTTTTCGGTTCTGTCAACATGCAACATGAATTATCATAAGCTGTTAATCAACAAATTGTAAAATTCTTATGGATTCCTTCGGCGTTTATCGTATTATCACAATTGGATAAAAACTTTAATAATTTATCTGAAAATTTTCACGCATCTGCGTAATCATTTCCTTTGAGTTTTAAATTTGCTGATAAAATTGGGATTAGTATTTTTCTATAGATCAATTATCTCCAGAGAGATTAAATTTAATGTAGAAAAGTAAGTAAACTAAAGAAATATATAAATTACAGTCAAATCAAAATAACAAATAATGTTAAATAATAATTTAGTTAACCATTAGTCCACGTCAATGTCCCTTTCCTACGGCCAGCTGAAGCGCCCTCGCCGCTGACGGTTGACTGCTTCTCATCGACGGTCTCGCTGGACGCTGATGCCTCGGAGCGCCTCCTGCCGCAGCCTGCGCGCGCCGCTGCCCGAGCGGCCGCGGCGGACGCCGGCGTCGGGACGGCGATCGTGCACAGGAAGTTCCTCACCCTCCACAGACGCAAGAAACGCAAGCCTGCCGCCCCCATGGCCCCCCATAAGGCCCTCCTTGATGATCTCTATCCTGGGCCCACGCAAGTGAGTTTATAGCTACGCATGAGTTGGCCGCAAGTGAGTTCATAGCTACGCATGAGTTGGCCCACGCAATTACGTATTTCTCGCCCACGCTTCGGGGTCGAAAAGTGTCCAAGTTAGCGGACGGTCCAATACATGAATAGTTTTAGCTCTTCGCTCATATTATCAACAACGGGCAATTTTACTGTGCATACTATAGGCAACGATCCGCGAGTGTTATTTTCGAATAAAAACAAAAGGTTTACTGCAACTTGACATTAGAAAGATTTATTACAGACTGATTTTTCGCTGTAGTGAATCCATTTTATGTTGCTACTGAATTAAATTAGGTCCTTTTAAAATTAAGAGTACAGTTTGGTGGTCTGTCTTTATATGTCTTTATATTGAGTAGCTGATAGTGACAGTTGCCACACACCTGTCACTGTTGTTTGACCTCTGAGTCATAAGCATGTGTCTACTTCTCCCTGATGAACGACTGCTAGCTTGTGAACAGCTATAGGCTTTTCTAGAGTCGCGCAAACCATTGATCTAAATCTGGCCGTATTTATTTCCTTAGAAGGCTATGAATTTTCATTGGTAAATTGTTTAACTATGGGAATTAATAACACTTGTATCAAATTAGGCTTCGAATTTTTATGACTCAATAGCAGAATTCTACAGACATACTGGAAATACAGTTTATTTTTTTCCAGCAAGTTTAATTATTATTTCAGCATGAAAATTGCAATTAATGCAATTATCTTAGTTGTAAATTATAGCATTGCATACTATTTTCCGGATTTTCCTCAGAATGTGCTGGAGCGTGTGGGCGACTGGAACTTTAACGCGTTCGCCCTGGACAGCGTCACGGGAGGGCGACCTGTGTCGGTGTTGTGTGTGTATCTCCTGCATCGCTACAACCTCATCCACAGCTTCCATATGGACACCGTCACGGTCTGGAAGTGCTTTAGTGAGTAACAACCCAACAGGAATCTGACGTAAAATTAACCTTGATTAACTTTTTAAATGTTGATTGAATGTTTTTACGACCCACCAGGCAACTGACATTAAATCATTTTTGATTAACTGATTAAATGTTGAAAATATGTCAATTAATCGTTGTTACAACACATTCAGCATCTGATTTATCGTTTACTGTTCGATCGTTGAATTTACGTTGATTGAACGTGGTTTTGAAATTGCTTTCTTGGCATTCGTGACGTGGCATTCGTCACTTTCTTTGACATATATTAAATTAACATGCTTAAGAATACATGTAAATTGATAAATTACATGTAATAAAATAAGAGACATTAACTGCAACTAATTTCTTCATCGAGAATAATTCCGCTATTTTTAGTGAACGATCAGCGAAAAATTATTTTTTTTTTCATATACTAGCAACAATGTTTGAATTTTGCAGGTCTTATAGAAGAAGGCTACCATACAACCAACCCATACCACAACGCCCTCCATGCCGCCGACGTTACTCAGGCTATGCACTGCTACCTGCAAGAGGAAGTGGTAGGTTTTTAACACAATCTAACGGTTCTGTGGTAGGCTGGTAGTGGCAGCATAAACCATAGTTAAGTTGTATAGCAATATTGGGTTTGACATCATTATATAAATGATGTTAAATTTACTGGAACCAATAAGCTAGATAATTTCTATACCATTAGTAAATACAACTTGACTTGTATTTACTAATGGTATAGACCGTGACCTGAATAATCTTTGGACATTTTGATAATAAAATTGCTTGGGTATTTGAAAAAATTATAAATGTGTTATAAATCATATCTAATTTTCCGATAATTTCTCAGTTATACCATGTCATGCGTGGTATAATCTCAATGATTATACATATACGTTACTTTATATATAATTATATTAATGTTCGCTTCAGATTCGGCAGCACATGACGCCACTGGAGACCCTAGCCGCTCTGCTGGCCGCGGTGTGTCATGACCTCGACCATCCCGGCGTGAACCAACCTTTCCTTATAGCCACTGACAATCACCTGGCTGCTCTATACAAGGTAATTACTACAATTACCTGGCTTCTCTATACAAGGTCATTACTACAATTACCTGGCCGCTCTATACAAGGTAATTACCATAGACAATCACCTGGCTGCTCTGTACAAGGTAATTACTACAATTACCTAGCTGCTCTATACAAGGTAATTACTGCAGACAATCACCTGGCTGCTCTATACAAGGTAATTACTACAGACAATTACCTGGCTGCTCTATACAAGGTAATTACTACAGACAATTACCTGGCTTCTCTTATACAAGGTAATTACTGCAGACAATCACCTGGCTGCTCTATACAAGGTAATTACTACGGACAATCACCTGGCTGCTCTATACAAGGTAATTACCATAGACAATCACCTGGCTGCTCTATACAAGGTAATTACTACGGACAATCACCTGGCTGCTCTATACAAGGTAATTGACAATCACCTGGCTGCTCTATACAAGGTAATTACCATAGACAATCACCTGGCTGCTCTATACAAGGTAATTACTACAGACAATCATCTGGCTGCTTCATACAATGCAAACTAAAAATAATGAAGTGTGATTTCGCAGCATTAATGTTATTGTAAGTTATTACCTCATATAGGGACTGGATAATGTATAAATGCAAATTAAATGGAAAAATAAAACATTTTAAGGTACAAGAAAAAAAATATTAAAAATGAATTCGCTAGAAGGAGATTTTTGAAAATCCTTCCCTCGAATTAAGTTCCCGAGGATAATATTCTGTGTTCTGTCAATGAACTAACGCCATTTTAACCTGAGCCCTTTGAAGAACATCTTCCTTACCATTAATAAAAGCTCTAACTTAGTGAACATTTTTTCTCGAATAACTCTTACAACGAATATCTTACAAGTTAAACAACTTAGATGATACCTGCAAATCCTGAGCGTGCTGAAAAACAACACATCCATTTATTGATGCTTTAACTTTGTGACTCCTTTACTCGTGCATCTCATTATCATAATATATTACATTTTAAGCAACAGATTTGACACCAACAGAACCTGAGCACGCTCAATAACAGCATATTCATTTATTTCCAATAATCACAGCTCTTGCAACTTAAGTAATATCCATCTCTTGAATATACTAGACAATATCCGACAAATAAAGCTTGTAAAGTTGCGCCATCAGAACCTGAGCGTGCTGATGAACAATATAGCCACTTGTTAATGCTCTATATTTGGGCTATATAATGCTTTCTCTATATATAAAATCGTTCACCCTATTAAATTATTTTGTTAATATCTGACAATTTAATCAATTGAGTTGACACCACCAGCGTGCTGAAGAACAACATATCCATCTGTATGCTCAAACTTTGGGAAAATCCTTCATTCGCTTAAATTATTTTGTTAATATCTACAATAAAACAAGAGACTTGACACCACCAGAACCTGAGCGTGCTGGAGAACCACCAATCCATTTGTTAATGCTCTGACTTTGGGAAAATACATCACCCTATCAAATTATTTTCTTAATATCCTACAATATAAGCAATTGAGTTGACACAACCAGAACCTGAGCACCCTGATGAACAACTTATCCATTTGTATGCTCAAACTTTAGGAAAATCCATCCCCCCATTAAATTATTTAATTAATATCCTACATTTTAAGCAAGCGAGTTAACACCACCAGAACCTGAGCGTGCTGGAGAACCACCACTGGCGCTGCGCCATGGGGTGTCTGTGGGAGTCCGGGTTGCTGGACGGCTGGGCGCTGGAGGATGTCGACCAGCTGCAGGATCAGATCCGCTCCCTCATCCTGGCCACCGACATCACCCGGCAACAGGAGTTCCTCACCCGCTTCAAGGTTGTTATCTATAATAATTATTGGTATATGTATCTGATGCATGATATATTGTATAGGTTATTGTTGGATCGGATGTATGATATGTAAATGTATCTGATGCTTGATATATTGTATAGATTGCGGTTATTATGTCACATGATTCTATTACGATAATTAGTGGTTGCACCTATCGTGTCCGTTTAGTGTGTTTATGAAGTTTCCAAGGAACATTTAATCATATTAGAACCTTTTTAGAACGTTTATTTGTAGATATTTCTTTTATAGAATACTAATAATGTTTATTTATTCAAATTAATTCATAAATATAATACTGATGATCATGTATGGCATGCAGAAATACCAGGAAGGAGGCGGACTCGACATGACACAGCCCGAGGATCGCCACTTCTCCCTGCAGATCGCCCTCAAGTGCGCCGACATCTGTAACCCATGCCGCCCCTGGGAGGTCTCGCAGAAGTGGTCCCAAAAGGTTCGATTATTCACGTCTAATGAATAAAATAATTCTGAACTTTTGGGTGGAATTGGATGATTTTTTTCTGAAGATTTTCCTGAAGATTTTCTGAAGATTGAGAAGCCTGAAGATCTAATATTCCACCGACGAAAGTATCAGCTTTTCAAAAATAAATTAGTAACTATATTCGTGCTGGATACTCTACACTACATCATGTTTTGGTTTGCATACTTAAATTTTTACATTAAAATATCAAGTATAATGAAGTTCATTTTTGCAACACTCCTATTTAACTTCACTTCTTGTTGTTCATCTGTCTGCTACAAATCTTATATTCGATATTTAGCACACTTCTACCTGTTCAATCGATCTGAAATTTTGCACACTTGCGTAAAGTCGTGGACAATGCATGAATCAATTGACAGAATCACCAAACAAATAATATATAAAAAAAATTGTTTTAAATAAAATAATAAATTCATTGTACGTGTGTAACATCGGAGGCACCAGCCTATTTAGAAGTGTGGTCTTTAAAAAGTACTTTTGAATGCATATTATTTATAGATTTGCGACGAATTTTACCGTCAAGGAGACTATGAACGACAACTGAACCTCCCCGTGACTGCTCTCTGCGACCGTTACGCCACTTCCATTGCCAAAATTCAGACAGGTTCGTCAATCCATGCTCTTTGTATGAGCTTTTTGGTTCATTTAGTACAAAAATTCGTATTCAGCAAAACTTGGGCTGTCGGATAATTCTTTTTGGTAACGCCGTTGTTAGAGTTTGGCTAGAGGCTACGGAACATTCAAACATGAAAAATTGTAGCAATTATCATTCATTATACTTTAAACATTTTGTGTTTTTGTCATCCTCAAATCAATTTAATATACTCCAGGAATATTAGATTGATTAATTTGTGCATTTCTGTGCAGGGTTCATCGAGTACGTTGTAAGTCCGTTGTTCGGCGCATGGCATGAATGGCTTGGGACGCCTCTCTCCTCTGCCATGCTGCATAACCTGCAGTCAAACCTGCATGAGTGGAAACAAAGACTGGCAGAAGATCCTCTTCCTAAAAGTCCAAAACCTCTTCTCCTGAACGCCCCTCCATTGTTAACTGATTCCGAGGAAAAATCCAATGTGTCGATTAAAGAGGTAGTTAGCAGCTGTAGTAGCAGCAGTAGCGGAGATAATCCCAGCGAACCTGTGGGGGATCTTTTCAGCCAGTCTGCGTTCTGTGGCCAACAGACTGTGGTCGGTAGACGTCACTCGCTTCCGTTGAATGTGCCGAGTATGTTGCCTCGAACTGTGATGAGGCGGGAGAGTTTGTCCAGTGACGGTAAACATCCCTTCTTGTTGGAGACCGTACACATGGAAGATATGGCTTTATCAACATTATCTCAAGCTGATAACGAAAATGCCGACGCTGATATGGTGTCTATTGTGACACGACTCTCTGACACTTCTGACATATCTCCATCCAAGACGCGTGTGATGACAGGATCTTGTCATCCCAAATCAGGACGACGTCGACTATCACTTCCACAACTGTCAGCACATCAGTACCGAACAAAGCCCCCTTTGGTATCTCTGCAACCTCTACCAGCCACGCCATCGGTTGAGGAACTTCGTGTTCCAAGCATCACTCCAGCCACGGTTGATGGTTCAACTGGTGGTGAAGGTCAAGGGCATTCAAATCAAAGTAACTCTGAGTCTTCCAATGCAAGCAAAGTGTCGGCCGAGTGTGGAAGTGGAGGTGGCGTTGCTAAAATGAATCCAAGTGCAGTGAATTTTCAAACGAATATGCCAGACGATGTGTTCAGGACAATTGAAAGTTCAAAGTGTTCAATAGGGGATTCTTTCCCCGCCAATGATGCTAAACTTACTTCAACTCATAGTATTTCAATGCGTACAAATATTGATAATTCAGGGAACGATTTCGTTTCCCAGCTACCTGACATCTTTAGTTCTAGTAGTAACCATCATTACCCTGCTAGATTTTTGCGCCGTGCTTCTCTAGACAGCAACACGTGCACTAACATTAATCTCAATGAGAACCTGAACCTGCAATATCATCGTAATGACAACCAGAATGCAGGTCTTAGTTTTCATTCCTCTGGCACTCAAGTCCCTCACGAGGGCAAATGGCCCCGACGAGGGAGCCTGGCGGGGGACAAGGAGAACAGAGCGCCCAGTCGCGGCCGGGCGGCCCTGCTGGCACGTACGCGCTACTGGCGCTCCCTCAACCACGACGACGGCACCGACGCAGTGTCCCGGTCGCTGCTCTCTAAAGATATTATGCAGCAGGTTATATATTGTTATTATTAAATTCCGTCACCAATATTCTTTATTACTACAACGTTCGTTCGAAACCTGTATCAGTATGGTCTTTGTACCAGTCAAATGATGAGATTTTGCGTACAAACTAAAGTGCTACTGCTGGCACTGCTTTTCGATTACTATAAGGCAGTATTTAAGTGTGTATCCGCTATGAGGTTCAATAATATATTGTGTTATACATCCACCCGAGCAGCGCTGGGCTAACCTGATTGTTCATCATAAATTTTAGTGGGCCAAACCCAAATTTGCATTAATTTTGGATTTACTTATGCAATCATAGAATTCTTGACTCCTTTGAACATTAAAATAAAGCCAATATAAATGATAAATTAAAAATTTCCTAGCGTACTGCCGGGCACATTATACCTGAAGCTGAATGAGTAGGCGTATAAATGTCACTTGTATTAACTGTTAAGGTTCCTCAGGTAATCCCCCACTGCCCGCGGCAGACGCGGACACACTCACTATCCCTAAAGCTGAATGTCCCTCATACATATAAAAGGTGTACTGCTATCTCAGGTAAGCCAGTCACCCGCTGCCCTCGGTCGGCGAGGGTCGGCACCCGTCCTGCAGCTCGACTCCCTAATGAACCGCACCGGCTACACGGCGGGTGACCTTAAATCAGACTTGTCACCCGATCGCAACTCGAGCGTCCTCACAGCACGACGGGCGTCCGCACCCGCTCAGCAACTGCTCATTGGTGAGTGCCATGAACAATTTTATTGATATTGTTGTTATTGTAGTCTATATTAACCAGAGATATGAACATAGATATGAATTAGTGGTTTAAAAATGTTGTCCCTGGAATCTCACGGTCGAGATTTTAATTTTCGCTATTGAATCGAACTAAATCCGTCTCTAAATTGTACCTGCTAAAAAAATATTCTATTGGTGGGTGTTTTCAGGGGATGCTTGGTGTATTTTCAATGGTTTATATACACATGTTGCATAATACTTCGCGTTGCGCGTATAAGACACGCCTTCTTCTGAACTCTTGTTTATGTACGAAGTAAAAATAATTTCTATCTGGGAAAGATGGGTAATTTAGTGTGCCCGTATTTGTTGTGAATGTTCCCTTCAATTTCCAACTTTCGCTCCTTTTTCTATAAACCTTGAAACATTCCTGTATTCCTGTCAGTCCCTCGTCATTCGTTGGTGTGTAGTCCAGAGTGTGTTGATGATTTCTGTATATGTGACATAAATTCATTTTATTCTCTTCGAATGCATGTTTTTCTTATTCTTAATTCACAAAAAAATCTCTCTAATTCGACTTGATTGATTTGCTTCTAATGGTAGCAAATCATCACACGCCCAAGGATTTAATGCAAATGATTCGCAAGTCTTCGTCTTTCTACTTATCTTCAAAATATTACTTATGATGAATATGTTATTTTTATGAAGATATTTGTTCCCAGCACGTTTAGCGCATGGAACAAATAATTAGGGCGATTAAAAATAAATTATTTCCAACTGATATGTCTTTTTCGGGCATTTTTTTAATATCTGCTATTTGAATTCCGGATCTGCATTGGAGGATTCTAGAAATTACGATGGAGCTTTCCTAAACGTTTCTTACAAAGATGTGCTGCAGTTTGACGTTTTCTTAGTTAATATTATCGCCCTCAAAATTTGTATTCCCAAATCACTTTAAAAATCAATTGAATTAATAACGCAAGCAAACTCCCAAAATCGTTTCACAATAATTTTTCACATGATATTTTTCAGAATATTGTCCATATTACCGCATATATTCTATGAACATTCAATTAATACTTGAAAGAAAATTTCACCGATTCTTTCTTCGGTAATATGATCGACGAATAACAATAAAATTGTTTCAATTATGTATAAGCCATAACATATTAGTTGATAGTTACCTTGTTGTTGCCGTTTGCTTGCGGCTCAGGCTTGAGGTCGAGGAAACACTTCAGCGAATCCACTAACGTGCCTGGCGATCAAGAGGTGTCGTGGCAAGGATGTCAACTAAATGCAAACCTCAATGAAATAGACTCTTTTCCACCTTCTATCATGAGCGATAATGCTTATTACACCAGTCGTGCTCCTGGAAATCTCGGTGCTAGAAGAAAAGCCTTCTCGGAGAAAAGGATTCTCGGGAACTCCAAGAGTTTCGACCTAGTGTCGTCTCGCCCAAAACTCCGAAGCGTACCACCTTTCATGCGGCGAACGAGCTCCGCCGGAAGGTCCTTTTCGTGCACGCTACTTAGATATTCATTGAATAACCAAGCATCTGAGCACATGTCATCTCATGGTGCATCTGCAGCGTATGAAGTCATCAACGAGTCGGACATTCTGACGACATCGAAGATGGACGAAGAAGCTCAAGTTGAGGGCAGTGAGAATGGCAGAGAATTTCTGAAAACGGAGGTGACGACCGTAGAAAAAAGCGTTCGTCCTCCGTTGTGTCGCACCAATTCCCTGCCAATCTTCGGTTGCTGCTCGACTCCAATAGAAGAGGCAAGAGGTGGGCTTGCCTTGCTCGCTAGCTTGCTCTTGTATTCGTTGCTATACTGCGCCACGTCTTCATGTCTAATGCTATTTTTAATGAATATAATCACAGGCCAGAATTTTACCAGTTTGATGTGCGCTCGTGTTGGTGCAATTCGTCCTTGTCGTTGTGTGCTTTAGAAAATTCTGGCACTTCTGCACCGTCTTACGCATCTCTCCCATTGACGTTGCCAGTAAAAATACGTTTGCAACGACTGCTTGTACATAATTGTGGCTGGACTGCTTCAAGCCAAAATATTATTATTTGTTTTCTAATATGCTGTACTGTGGCAAATAAAAATCTCATTTAAAACGCTTTATAAGTCCTCTGAATTGTATGATTGGTATCATTGTCCAGACTTCAGATTTTCAACGAAGAAATCGTTGATGATGATAAGTTGAAGTAGAATTACTTGAATTACCATGTATCGATTTTTATAGCTGAAGAGGCAAAAAAATTAGAAGAGGTTCTTTGGATTTAAAACGAGTTAGGGCTCTGATATGTGATTGAAAATTACCAATAATTCAATAAGCTTTGATGTCTGCTTCTTGAATGACGATATGCTTAATGCTCTGTTCAAACGTTCAACTTCCTTGAACAAACAGTATTGTAGGTATTTTACGAGGGGATCGTATGTTTTGACATCGTTCTAATGACTTAACTGTACATAGCCACAGCTTTCACCTTATCTAAAAATCTGTTTAAAACCATTTATGAAACTGTACTCTCTCTAATTTAGCGTTGAGTTTTGGCTTTAAAGTTCTCAAAAAGTTGGGGATTTCATTTGCGTCTAGCATATAATGTTAAAATACCGAAAAATGATTGATTGATGTACTCATGATTACGTAAGTAATATTTTAGCGTGAGATTAATCTTGAGCCATTTACAGCTTTAGTTTATGTTCCATACATATTGCCATCGGAAATTCTTTGGGAGTAGAGATCTAGATTGAGATGGAAATCCATCGATGAGTATCAATGATGCGTCTTTCTAGAATTTCGTCTCCTTCTTCCTTCTATTAGCATGGCTAATTTTTAAGAAACAAATACTTTCAAAATTTTATTTATATCATTTGGGGTCTAGTAAATTCTACTACTGTCTGCGTTCGTTTCTCCGATTGCATTTTAAGTTAGTAGAATGCGAAACATGCACTGGCATTGACAGCTATGTACATACATAATATCCAAATCCCTTCATATATGTCAACTAATATTCAATGTAACTATTGAATGGCATGTACCAAGCATGTAATATACTCTTCCAACACAACTATGCATGTAAATGTCGTGTTCTCATGTTTTCACGCAAAAGTGTACTTGTGTACATCTTAGGATCTATCTTCATAATTTTGCCTAGGAACCGTACATGATTCTTTAAAAATCATTCCCATTTTTTCTCTGCAGTTGTTGAATATTTCGTATTGCTTGCAGTCACACATGCTAAATTACATTTATTTTAATTGTGTATGTTCTATTTTTTCACTTGTTAGTTTTTCTTTCTCCACATATTTCATTCAAATCGATATTCGTTTAAATTTTGATTTTTGTTATCCGAGTTATATTAATTTTTCTAGCATGAATTGAGCCTGCAAATTAGTAGAGTCATTTTGTTCGCTTCTGTATCTCACTGCAGAATTTAATTGCACTTGGCGCACTTAACCAATTATCCCAAGGTCAAGAAAAAAAATTTTGCGAGTTCAAAGAAAATTGAACTTTTTTTAGCTTCATGAATCGATTTCAAAATAAAATTTCATTCACACTGAGCAGGGTGAATATCAAGAATGAACCGCTCGAATACTAACTGAAATATAGTCGAGTAAGTCCGATTAGATGACTCTTATTTTTAATTCGCAAAATCAGATTTAAGTATTTATTTCGAATTTGCGAAATTGAATTTATTTATTTATTTCGAATTTACGAAAAAATTACCTGAAAAAAACGCGCTACTCCGTTTACCCGTGAAATATTTCGGAAAATGATACATGTGTATAAATACATACAAGACATAATTATTATTAGGAAAACAATGTTATTTATGTTACACTTCTTCTTTAAACAAGGTCCAGCATTTAAATTTGCGAACAATAAGCTTATACTTGTTATGCCCGCATACACTAATAAATTCTGTAATAATATGTATCATAATCTGTCTCAGCAAAGAAATCGGACCTAAATGCTGCACCAATTATTTCAGAAATCCATCAAGATACAACATTGAAACAATCAAGATACAACATTGAAACCATTAAGATACAACATTGAAACCATCAAAATACAACATTGAAATCATTAAGAGATACAACATTGAAACCATTAAGATACAACATTGAAGCCATTAAGAAACCACATTGAAACCATTAAGAAACCACATTGAAACGTTCTTTATTTTGCAGGCATCGTGGACCACCTGACAGCCGTGGCTCGAGAAAGCTCTTCGCTGAGCCACAGCACCGCGCCCGGCAGCGTACAGGTCCCCCCGAGCCACCCCAGCGAACTACCTCCCTCCGTCGCGTCCAGGCTCGGACTGGACACTAAGTGAGTCAAGTCTCTGGAGCTATCGGTTTCCTGAGAGTCCTGGACCTGTCGATTTCCCTTGGAATGGATTCGAATTAATTTGTTGACTAAAAATTTTTTTAATTGTCTTGATTTCAAATCATTATTCCATTTTGTTTCAAGATCTTGAAATAAAAGATCATAAAAGTTATAAATATTTAAATATTAAATAAGTTTCGCCCAAATGTGATCCAGAGTGAACCTCAGTGATCGAGTTCATTAAGTTTAAATTGTTTTCGGCATTAATACAGTATTACTGTCTTACACTATTACAGTAATACAATCAAAGATCTCTAAATAATTCAAAGAGAACCTCAGTGATCGAGTTCATTAAGTTTTTATTGTTTTCTTCAGTAATAGAAGCTGCCAAAGCCAAGCGGCAGCGTTGAGGGGAGGCATGGGTGGAGGGGGGTCGGGGCAGCCATGCTACGACCCGATGCGCCCCCGCGACGCCAAAGACGTCGACTTCTCTGACAACTTCGGCGCCGCGGCAGCCGATGTCCTGACCAACATGTATCGGTGAGGAATATAAAATATCAAAAGTTTTTAGCGCATTTTCTCATTTAGGGAAAAAAACTACGGTATTGTGCTCGCCATGTCCGTCTGCCCGTCCGTCTGTCTGTCCATCTGTCTGTTCGTCTGTCTGTCCGTCCGTGACCTAAAGTTTTCGTCGACGAAAAAATGCGCTCCGTCACTCACTGCAGTGAGTACTGAGTTGTATTTTATTTATTTATTTCATTTGCTACCTGTTTTTTATTCATTCGTATCACTTAATTTGTACAATATAAGAAAAGAAATTAAGCCTACTCAAATTGGTGATGGAAATTAGATTTTATCTTTTTTAAAACATGTATTTCATTTTTTAGGATTCAAATTAATTCATACCTGAAGAAATAACTTGGTTGACGTGCATCTTTGAGGATTTTTTCAGATAATATAAACCTTTTTGTCAATTCGTTCTTATTTGTTAAAATGTTTTATCGAAAAAAGATAGACTTGCCTGAGGCATTTTACTGAGATGATTTTTGGCATTTAGTTCATACATTCAACATTCGAGAAGCAGGAGTGTTGTGTTGTTGATAGAATTATCATTCAGGAGTGTATTCATACGTACATTCATTGGCAAGTTTCCGGCATTCGGGAGAAATTTTATCTTCCACCAGATCAATGGAACGAATACATATATAACATCTAATTATCGGATTATATACTCTTTTTAACTATACTCTATATCTAAATATACTTTATCTAACTATACTCTGTCTAAATATACTCTATCTAACTATACTCTTTCAAAATATACTCTATCTAACTGTACCCTATCTAAATATACTCTATCTAACTAAACTCTATCTAAATATACACTATCTAACTATACTCTATCAAAATATACTCTATCTAACTATTGCTATACCCTATCTAAATATACTTTATCTAACTATAATCTATTTAACTATACTCTATCTTACTATACTCTATCTTACTATACTCTATCTAGTTATAAATCAAAACGAATACATTGCAGGGGTTCAGAAAAGAAAAATTGCGTGAGCGAGTTTAGCTCGTGGGTGAAGTTCAAAATTTTCCTGCAGGTTTCGACACGAGTGTGGGGTGAGTCAGGAGTCGAGTGACGACATGGGTGACTGGTACTCATCGTCGGGGGACGATGGCACCCCCAGTACCCCAGGGTACCCCTTCCCCAACCCTGCTCGCCCATTCCCCCACCATTATCATCACCACCATCTCTCTGTCAGACGCGGCTCTCTCCCTTGCAACTTTTCATTCTCAGGTAATTTATATTTTTATGTGTGGTGCACTATGGGATTTCGCGTTCCTAGGGGGATTTTTCCTGAGCGCCCCACCGCTGAGCTCGCGGTGTCTGACTGCAGGTCTCAGTTGTGGGGATAAGTTATTATGTAGGTGGGATACCTTACATTGAGTTATTATGTAAGTAGGGTACCTTGCATTAAGTTATTATGTAGGCAGGATTCCTTACAGAAAGTTATTATGTAGGCAGGATTCCTTACATCAAGTTATTATGTAGGTAGGATACCTTACATTAACTTATTATGTAGGTAGGATAATAACATTAAGTTATTATGTAGGCAGGATACCTTACATTAAGTTATTATGTAGGTAGTATTCCTTACATTTCCCTTCTCGGACTCTCTCGTGCGGGCGGCCGACGTCCCGTGTAAGCGACCTCTTGTTCGCGTGTCTTCGTTTCTGTTGCTTTTCACCTGTCCCTCCTTGTCACTTCGTCGCTTTGAGATGCTAACGCTGTTTCTTTCGAGCCAGCTTCAGCGGACTGGACAATTGAGACCTTCCGCCCCTTGTGGGTGATGACCTATTTCTGGTTTGAGAAACTTTATAGATAACTGATAAATACACCTCTTTGGTGATGTTCATCTTGACTTTCGGTGCGATATAGCTAAACAACTGAAGCGATAGTAAACATTTGACAACTAAACTTAACTATATTATGTGGTGCATTTCTTGGAAAATATCGCAATTTGTGTGAAAAAAAATTATCATGTGTCTTTAGTTAATGGATGACACGAAAATAGTTTTTTTTTGCATAGTTTTGTTCGTTCCTTTCTTCAGCCAACTTGAAACTATTCCATTTGTGTACATGCGACTGATAACATCGCAAATCCATTGATTGGCGCTAATGATACGATAAATAAATTTTGTACATTCAAAATCAGCTCGCTATTCCGATACTGTAAACAGCACTGTAAATAATAACATCACATCTGAACACTACAATTACATTACAATGCTCAATGCCTGTTTATTTTTACAACTTATGACAATTTTTTTTGTTATTCCTGATACGAATGCGTAGACTCGTCAACAAGCTGCTAACTAAACTACTTAAACCTTCTCAAAAATGCACCTGAAATAACTAGAATGTAAATTATTCATTCCGACCACTATACTCCCCGTATAAAAGCTCCCTATAAAAAAGATATGAACTCGCACATTCAACAAATTTATGTATGGAAAAAGATGCAATATAGGAACACTTCGCGGAATTATTTTTCGCCTTTACTTATTGCAATGATTCAAACCTGATTATTAAAAATTCGAATTTGATTTGATCACTCTGCTCCAAGCGTCGCACTATTTATTTTTGAGGCTTGCTTGGTCCTGACTTACTAGAATAAATTAAAAGGCCAGTTTAGTTGCATTACAAATCGTAATTCTGTCATTGTTACATCGAAGACATCAGACGCAAAGTCAGGCACTCAAGATTCTGGGAATATTTCACTAAAATAGTTTTTAACACGATTGAGATTTCGATTTGAAGTTTCGCCGCACCATGTCTATTTTCATCGCTGATTAACATGCGCTAATTAACACATAAATTCAAATTCAGATCACACACAAGAAATAAAAGAACAGTAGAAGATAATCGAACGGAAAGATAACTTTATAACTACGAAAATGAACAAGAAAACTGTAGGACGCTATATTTGGCATTTATTTATCGTTTTTCGTATCTTAATATTTTCCCTGTAAACTTTTACTTTTAAATCGTACTTTTGAACACTTTCAAGTATTATCCCGAGCTTAATTTATTCGATCTAATATTGTTTCATTCTTTACAGGTGACTTAAGACTCCTGGAAACGTCCTAGCATATAACTCAGAAGTCCTACATCAGGAGTCGTTGGAGCAGACTTGTGATCGTCTCGTAAGGAGTGAAGGATTCCTCTTGGCTTTCGGTGCTAAACTCGGTATCTTCTTATGTTTCTATGGCCATTTTTATATTGAAAATAATTGTTTTGAGTACGCCTTAAAACGAACAGATTGCATGGGATTTTAAGAGATATATGAAAATACTGAGCATTATTTGAATTGAACATAAAAAAAGAGAACAATATAATTCTGCTTTGTTTTTCAAGGCTTACTGAATGCGCCTGTTCGTGTTATCGCCAGCATTCTAATCGATTTTAATACCGAAAAATAGGCCTCCGAATTTTTTGTTAATTCTTTTAAATAGATAAACCCTGTCGTTCATAAATAGATGGCAGTACGAAATTTCGAAAGAAGATTGAGTTGTGAACAATTCTTCCTATTCTCTCTCTTGCAATTACCTTTTCTAGGACGCGCATATACGTGTGTAATATTGTACTAAACTGTGTCAGATTTATTTAGGTTTATTTCTTTCGTGCCAAGAAAAACGTCCGCCCTGTCTATCGTAGATGTGCCAACGGTCTTTTGAGTGGCCTACCAGCGTACCATAATAAATATTAGTTGTGAAAATTCGTGCTGAATTCTTTACGGTTACAAAGTTAATTCTGTTATAGGTTATGAACGCACGGTTTATCCGAACGCATTGTGCAAAAATGCACGTTTTCACTGCCATTTATGGTATTTTGCTCGGACAGCTTGTATTCAAGTACGCAAAATTTGAAGGAAGTGGAATCATCTACATTAGAAGTGGAATCAAAATATTTTTCTTTCCATTCGTTCCTCAAGAAAAAAAGTAATTTCTCGGGATATTAAGTCTTGAGTTGTTGCGTTGGTTAATGCTTGTGCTCCGTAGGCATTAGTTTCACTGTCCTAGGTAGGTCTCTCAATCTATAAATATGCAATTTTCGCCAATGTTTATCTTAGGGTTGCTGATGATAAAGTAAATGTTTTTACGTGTAGACATGCGTGTGTGTTACGCGTAGTATTACAGATGAATACACACATCTTATGATACATCGATGTGATGTCGCTCTCTTTCTCTCTTGATCTCTCTTTCTTCCTCATTACTAAGGTCTTTATGATTTCCTTAGAATATAATAATTGTTTCATATGAAGGAGCTCAGCACTAAGAATTGCTAACACGGAGGCAATAGCGCATGGAGACTGCAGCGCACAATAAACATGGAGATGAATTTAGTGATAACTTTGCTGATGCGTGATTTTGACATGTTTTCTCATACAAGCTAGAGTCGAGAGTGTATGTGAGGTGGGCTAACGACTACGTTGTTTTTAACAGTTTCGTCACTGTGCGGTGGTTAGATTGCTTGTAGACGCCTCTTACCAGGTTGTTAAGTGTGTATCCGGCAAGAAATCGAATAAAAATTTCAGGATTGATCCTTTCGAAAAGTTTATAATCTATGGACGAATAGCAAGCATTTTACCTAATCTTAATATGAGAGAATAGTTGCCTTGGCTAGGTCTGAATAACTGGCAATCGCCATTGGAGCAACTGGTTTATGGGTAGTATCATTAAAATTAGTTTTATTTTCAGTAATATATCTTATGTATTATTTGTTTCATGAAAACCTTAAACTTTCAATTAAGTTTCTATGATGAATTATGTCCGCTTGCACGCTGGCATGTCTCAGTTTTGCTCATGCGAACGGAACACTGCTAGAAAAATTACCATCGGGTTGTAGGTAATTTACCATCCCCATTAATTCTTTGGTATTCATCATCAATTCATGGTAATCATCAATTACCATCAATTCTATCACTACAAAAGCGTGCATAAATATGTAATGGTTTGGAATTTTCAAATTCAGACTTTTTAATATTATAATCCGGCGATATATTGATCAGCGTTTGGAGTTGTCATAGATTATTGCAGAGAATAGGAAAGGACTGTGAGTAGTTGTATACGTTTTTGTTAAAATCCAGTATTTTTTCACCAAAAGTTATGCATTGAAAGCTCCTATGATGACGCTCCTACTGGATATTTTACTTATTTTTTTAAACAGAACAATAGGTGCCAAACTGTTTGGTCTTATTCCTTAAATTTTCGGTTATTGTGTCCATAAATTGTCGCCTACTATCCTATGACGATCTGAGTGGGTGTAATCTGTGTGAGCTCAATGTGAATGTTTGTAAAATCGTTGTTAATCCATAGATGCTAGAATAAATGTTGGTAATTTAGGGTCAACGGCTTGGTCAATCATAATTGATTTAAGATCCATATTAACCGATGGTGGGTTAATTTGGAATCGACTTTAAAGTCGTTCTTGGTTATATGATCAATTTTGGCTGATATTTAGAATCAACGTTGACTTTGTTGCTGCTCAAGCGATAAACCTAGTGCGGCGAAGAGGAATTAGTTTGCAGAATGGCGTAATTCTGTTACATGTGCTTTGTTGCAGTAGTTATGTAAGTGTTGCGTATTCATATGTCGTGTCTGGTAAATGAATATCATTTTAGACGACTTGTGTAGCGGATACATGAAATTTCTTGATGATATTTTGATCATCATTGAGACATGGTACGTTTTACTGCGGAAAGTTTCGAAGGGGAATTAGATGAAATTATTTACAATCGCCAGCATTTTAGTTATTCACTGGATTCATACGCAATTTCTCCTATGGCCTTTTGAATTTAGTATTCAGTTTCTGGGAGCAAAAATGTTGATGTTCATAATGAATTACCTTCACAGCTGTAGAATTAAATATTTTATTTAAACAAAAGAAAATTACAAACAATTTGGGTTGCATAGCAGCGCATGAGTGATAAAAATTTTTCTTATTTGCTTTAAAGATATTATCTCTGATTTTTTCGTTCAAAGTAATCTTTATGCCTTAAATGGGCGTAACAATTTGCGGGCAAATTTCGCTAACGAAATTTTAAATCTCTGTCAGTGCGCGCACAGATCGTTCGTGAATGAATCCTATTGTTGTTATAATGGGAGTGCTGGAAACAAAGCTCACTATTCTCTGTAGTCTCATGAACGTATGTTGCCTGCGAATCGTGTATCACTATGCGCGAAGCTCAATTATGAACATCGCGAAACGAACAACTCTTTACGAATTCATAAAACATTTTTCATGACTGACATGTATTAAACACGATATTTGCTTCTAGTTAAATTTCTATTTCATTTATATGACTTCAAAACGTATTCTCGGAACATCAATGAGGCGTGGAAATTATTTTTTTCCGGAATTATGTGTTATTAATGTTCGTATGTGTATCGTAGGTAATTGTGAAGGTTACTATAATTTGATTTTAAAGTTAAAGATTGGATGGATGTCGTCAAAGACTGAGTGGCAATTGGAATGTGGATGCTAAATGGCAATTAAAATGTAAATTTGGCTATTGGCATGTTTTGTTTGCATCTTTTCTCTGAACGTATGAAGTTTGTTCAACTGTGCTTGGCTGAAATTTGTTGAGGTCATTAGTTCGTTGGCGCCATTAATCTGTTCCTGAAAAGCAACAAAAGTTTGAGAAATGAAACTCTTCCTCTGAATGGGAGTTTATGGCTAGATTTTCATACGTGGCTCATATCTCTCAGCTTTGTACATTATCGTGCTTGAAGCAATGGAGCAGAATTTAACTTTATTTTGTTTTATTCGTTGATAATGAAGTTTTTATTTCAGCGTTGATATGCATGGCTGCTGGCAGTCATTTTATACCCGATAAATATGTAACGTTTTATTGTAATTTTAACGGTGCACTCATGTGAACTCGGTTTTATTTGGCTTGAAATGATCTTGTGAATTTGTTAACATGAAGAGGAGAAATTGTTCCGGAATAATTTGGGTCACATGCTGTCATTCTTAGATTTTGAGTGAAGTTAACCATAAATATTCAGAAAATTGGCAAACTGTACTAAGTTTGATTTAGTTGTTTACTGGTAACCACGACAATTTTAATGTGCTTCTCTTGCATCTAGAAATAAAACGGTTTGAGAAACGTAGATATTAGGTTCATTTCAGTTAAATCTATCAAAATACGAATATACCTCATACATTTGGAATAAAACCGCTACAATTTACTTGCTAATGATATATTTCGAAGGGTGACAAGTTTGTTTCGGAACAGTTTCCTCGCTACCTCGAGATACACATAGCCACATGCGTACGTTTTTTATTACATAGGACCTGAATGCTGCATTTGCGACGACACTGCTCTTGTATTGCTCATGCAATTTAGGGTAAAGATGTTAATCGTTGATGATTGTGTAATATGTTGAGATCATCTTACGTTGATGTTTTCTTAACCAAACTAAACTTCGGCACCAAAAAATTATTCATTCAAAAAATGTCCGTCTGAAAATTTCCGTGAAAGACTTCTCTTTGGCATCGATTAGAAGTTTTTAGATCAATTTTATTCACCATCTTTCAAGCAGAGAAACTGAACGTAAAATGTTAGTTTTATTCCGTACCGGAATATTCTGTACCAGAGATCTTCAGATCATTGGAACAATGAAACTTGATGAATTTATGGTGTAACCTTTATAACATCGAGAAAGTGGAAATAAATTAATTAAATAACATATAGTAGATAATAATAATGATAATAATATTAATAATAATAATAATATGCACTCTGAAGAATAAGATGCATGATTGAGATGATTTCTACCACGGCAGATTTTGTTGAAGTTGGAAGCATTGTAGCGATGAGCCATACTATTTCTCTACTTGTTTTACAGTAAAACCAGAAATTTTTGTTAGTCTATTTCTTCTTTATTATACGAACAATAATATTAATAATACAGTTGAGCTCAATTATGGCAACTCTCTTCTTCACTTACAAATACTTCACCGTATAATTTCTACGTCGTTTCTGCTCCACTACCCTCTGTTCCACTACCCTCTGCTCCACTACCCTGTGCTCCCCTACCCTCTGCTCCCCTACCCTCTGCTCCACTACCCTCTGTTCCACTACCCTGTGCTCCAATACCCTCTGCTCCACTACCCTCTGCTCCACTACCCTCTGTTCCACTACCCTGTGCTCCAATACCCTATGCTCCACTACCCTCTGCTTCACCACCCTGTGCTCCCCTACCCTCTGCTCCACTACCCTCTGCTCCAGTACCCTCTGCTTCACTACCCTCTGCTCCACTACCCTCTGTTCCACTACCCTCTGCTCCAATACCCTCTGCTCCCCTACCCTCTGTTCCACTACCCTCTGTTCTAATACCTTCTGCTCTACTAACCTCTGCTCCAGTACCCTCTGCTCCACTACCCTCTGTTCCACTACCCTCTGCTCCAGCACCCTTTGCTCCCCTAAACTCTGCTCCACTACCCTCTGCTCCAGTACCTTCTGCTCCACTACCCTCTGCTCCAGTACCTTCTGCTCCACTACCCTCTGCTCCAGTACCTTCTGCTCCAGTACCTTCTGCTCCAGTACCCTCTGCTCCAGTACCCTCTGCTCCACTACCCTCTGCTCCAGTACCTTCTGCTCCAGTACCCTCTGCTCCAGTACCTTCTGCTCCACTACCCTCTGCCCCAGTACCCTCTGCTCCACCACCCTCTGCTCCACTACCCTCTGCTCCACTACCCTCTGCTCCACCACCCTCTGCTCCACTACCCTCTGCACCACTACCCTCTGCACCACCGTCATCCCTCATCGGCCCTCCACCTCCACTACGCCTCTTCATCGTCTCTAGATCTCGAGTTCTTGAGCGATGTAGGATAGTCGTTCGTTGAGGCCGCCATCGCGCATGTCAGGCTCGTGGTTAAGGATGGCGGTTGCCTCCTGCAGAACCTCAGCTGCCTCCTTCATGTAGTCCTGCATCATACGTGTCAAAAATTATAGTTATGAGTTCGTAACTCCGTCAGCCAATCACTGTCAGCGTCTTAAGCTAAACCCGCCAATCACAAACGAGAAATCGGCCGCTACGTGTACATATAAGCGAGTTATGGTAGCACGGTAGGTCATCATTGAAAAAGATAAGTGCCTCACGACATTCGTATATTACTATGCCGACAGATGCTGTAAGGACCTTAATATATAAATAACCATAGGGTAAACTTTTTTATTTTATTTGGAAAGGATTGTGACAAACAATTATCATTACCTTGAAATGAAATGAGAATCTTTAGGTTACTATGTACATTACCCGTCGTAGTGTCATCGTAAGCTGTTATCCGGTATTATGTTAAATGATTAATTGAAGTGGAAGATTTCGGCAGCATTATTTCGACAGTTATACTTGACAACATTTTAATGATATATACCTTAGCGCCTTCAGTAGTGATAATGTCGTTCGAAAGAAGATGTTTTGCCAGAGCCACGATGCCGGCCTGAAGCTCAAACAACAGCGACCCTCTGAGCAGCGACAGTCCAGGGTCCAGCACAGCGCTCAGATCCAGCAGACTGCGGCTCCAGTTCACTTTGTTCTCCAGCTGAGTACGACTCATGTCTGCAGTTCGATCAATGAATTCATATATTTAGTACCCAATTAATTCATTCAGTTAGAGTGTGTTATAATTTTTTCTGTATGCACGCAAAAAATGGTGGCCGGGTATTGGTTTGAAAATAAAGGGAATTAAGAAGTCATTGTGAGAAATTTGCCCTCCTATTTAACACAGTCAAAATCATGCATTGTTGAATTCGCAATAAATTTTCGCAACAGTTCTATAGGTATCATTCGCTAGCCGCGCGCCATAAATATTAAACATCAACCGTAGACGTGAAGTAATGGTTGCAATTTATCTTGTTCAAAGCAGCTATTAAGGCGAATTAAGTACGAAAAATTATTGAATGTAATTAATGAGAACTGCCGTGGCCAGAAGGGTGCCGTGTGTTGAAGATTTCGTATGATATATGCCTCTTAGTTTATCTCGTGTTCTAGACTCCCAAAAATTTCTCTCACCACTTGAGAGCTATTTAAAATAATAACATATCCAATCACAGAAAAATTTCATGGAGAACTAGTCCAGTGAATCACGCTATGAAAAATTTATATAAAACGAGATTCATAAACTCACGTGTACAATTATTGACGCTTAATCCCATGTCTCTTCAGCAGCACTGACCTCTGAATCTGCAGTTCGGCGAATTACCGTAGAGTTTAACAAGTCCGTACTTTGCTTCGACGAAAAACCGGTGTTGGGAATGCAAGGTTTTCTTGTATTTTTCCAGGAAATTTTCTAGAGCCCGTGGGGAGCTTTTGTCCAATTCTCTAAGCTCTTTGTACAGCACAGCGTCTCCCCATCGCACCTGCTCGAAAGCTTGCATTCAATGCTAAGCAGTCTCAGTAAATATAAACCGATTTACGATGGACATGTCACGTGTTCACAAAGAATGGATGATAGCTATTGCAAAATTCTAAAAAAATATTCTGAAAGACGACGTTTAATAATTCATTGGCTAGTAAAATAATGATACTTCTTGGTGAGAAAATACGATACTAGTTCTTGATAATACGCGTAATTTTAGCACATGTTTTTGTTACCACTTGTGCTGGAAGGGACTGGAGGTGTACAATCAAGCATGAATGGTCATGAGCCAGTTTATGAGTTCAAAAATACAAATAAATTAAACGACAAGTACTTCATAAATCCTAAATCTTCTTACAATGATTAGAGGGTATTGTATTCATTCTAATTTTGTGCAGCTGTGCGAAAGAAAGAAGAGAACCAAGCTCTTGAACTTGCAATTAAGTTTAAAGGAAAATCTTTACGTAATTAATCTCAAATGCATAAAATTTTCAAAACAGTAAAGCAGCATGTAAAAAGTAAAATCAAGTTAATTAGAGCAATGCAAAATTATAAGCTTACCACACGAGTTTAAGTATCTATTTTTTAACACCTTTAAAGGCAAGAGAATGACTTATGTTAATAATTTCATATTAATTTTTTCAATAGGCCGAAGAATATTTTTCGTTGATGTTGATACATGTAATAAAGATGCCCACCTGTTTGGCGGAGATCACATGGGGGCACTTGGAGCAGCTCCACGGCGCGTCCAGGTCGAGCGGGTTCCTGGACACGACTGAGGAGCCACACTCGTCGCACAGCAGCGTGCTGAAGTGAGTGCCGAGCTCGGTCGCGTCGCAGCAGCGCGGGCACTCGCACAGGAAGAACTTCAGCATCTGCAATGTTATAATTATGTTGTAATTTTAGCATCATGGATGGAGTATTGTTTTGAAAATTGATATAGCATCTGCGGTGTTATAATTATATTGTAATTTTAGCATCATGGATGGAGTATTGTGTTGAAAATTGATATAGCATCTGCGATGTTATAANTACACATCTAGATGTGTATAAGAGACAGTTATAGCACCATTGATGGAGTATATTGAGTTGGAAATTTATGTAGCATATGCGATGTTATAATTATATTGTAATTATAGCACCATTGATGGAGTATATTGAGTTGGAAATTGATGTAGCATCTGCGATGGTAGATCGGTAGAGTAAAACATCATGGATAGAAGTATTAGGATAGAAACTAAAAAAACTGCGCTGCAACAACATTTCGTCTCGCTTCGAATTACCGACATGTGGAACAGCCTCCCTGCATGGTTACATCGTTGACGCTACGAGTATAACCGCGTTTAAGAACAGACTAGATAAAGCTATGGAAAAATTTATGTTCAGACTTGAAAAATTAATGCCTAGCATCATATCGAACCCGGTGGAAGTCTAGTAGCTATTTCAAACTATCGTCATTCTTAGAAAAATCCGGTCAAAGGACATACTTTTAGATCTTCTGTGGACAAGTCACTAAAAGTACAAGAATCGGCATCAGGCCTACTCTCCAGCGCCGACATCACTATGTTATGCTATGTTATGTTCGTTATTAGAAGCTGGTATGGCAGAATTCTATTGTAATTTCAGCATCATGAATAGAAGTATTGCAATGGAGACTGCGGCATCTTGGATAGAATCATATTGCAATCTTAATATCATGGACAAAAGTTTTGCATTGGAGTTTATGAATGCAGGTAAGTTTTGCGATGGGGAAACGATGAACAGTTGGTACGCAGATCCGCGGTAGGCTAATTTCCTAACTTATAAAGGAATAGCACCATAAATGGCGAAATTATTTAACCTCATGTACGTCAAATTGATCATAATAAAACACAATAATCACTTTCAAGCTCGTAGGCAAGAGGAAACTTTGGACATAAAATTTACGGTAGTTTGTTTGAGTTAACCTCATCAGCACGGAAAATTTCAGTTTTTAGGATTCCGAATCAATTCTGAGCAGTCAACTATAAACGGTGAGTAATTCACATGTTTGGCAGTAACGTAATACACCGACAATCTCCGGGATTACCGATAAACAGTATTTTTTCTTCACATTAAACTAGAAAGATATTATCTATCAATTGATGATAAAAAGGCTAATAGTTGGATTGACCTTTAAGACGATAACGGTTTTGTTGTAATGCCCATAATGTGACCACCCCACACAATTCTGACCTTAAGATGCTGACGCCGAGCCATGGTGTTCCAGAGCACCTGGGAGTAGTTAACGGTGATGGGGGTGCCCTTTGTTATCGGTTGCGTCGCTATGAACACCCCGGTAAGGTCATCCTCGAAAACGTGTTTGGTGTTGGCAACGCACGAGTGTGCCATCTTTGACGCGGTGTGGTAGAGACCTCGCACTCTGGAACCGTTGTGCTTCACCTCGAACGAGTTCGTCATGAGGATACCACACACTCTCAAGATGGTTGCTTCGTCGGCTTCTTCGTAATGCACGACTTTCCTGGGCCAAATAGTTGGTAACACAATCGTATGTTAAAGCGTAATGTTGGAGGATTGGCTATCGAGTTTAATATACTAGAAGCAATATTTTTTCCAGCTTTTTTTCTGTAGTTTATTATTTTTTTTAAACGTTGATTTCGATTGATTATATACATATTTCATAGTTGAAAAATGTTACCTGTAAAATCAACTTTCATACGTGATTTAAAAAAAGAATTATTCCCTTACTTTTCCCGTAAGACATCACGGCAAATTCATTAACTCTTGGATATAAGTATTGCAGGGACTTTCAACAACGATATTTTTAGTGGCATATTATCTTATTAGTGACATACTATCTTATAATATTAGGTCTTTTCTCACATTAGGAAGTCGACGACGTTGGTCATGAAGTAGCGATAGAGATCCCCGCGCTTAATTTCAGCGAAGTGGTCCTGCATGTCAGAAATAAGTTGCCAGGTTTTGTGGTCAAACTTTTGGGTGAGCAACACCCGGAGGACCGTGACGTGAGACAGCGCTGACTGCGAGGCTCCGTTGAACTCAGGTGGTACTTCAACCCGACTCAGCACTTCACATTCATCCTCAATAAGGGTCAGAGAAATTATTTTTGTTTTACTACCTATTTTACTGATTATTATATTGATTTACAAACTATCATAATATAGTCCTAATAACTTTTTATGATAAATAAAGAACGATCTTGAGGTAGGATTCAGAATTTAAACTTAAACAGTCGAAACACAACAGCAAAGAATGTAAACCATTGGGAACAATAAATATAAACTAAATTAGTGGTATTACTTCACAAGATATTAACAGACCTTGTGATACTTGGCAGTCTGGCACTGAGGGCCACATAACGGGTAGTGGCATCTGATGCAGCGGTAATCTCTTGCGGCGCGGTGGCAGCCCAGGCAGACGATGGCAGAAGACTTCTCTTTTGGCCCCACCAACAGCGGACTTTCCTTGAGCAAAACCTCCCCTGCTTTGATGTCTCTGGTTGCGATCAGTAGCCTGTAAACAAAACACTATAGTTGAGGTCATATGAATGGAACATTAGTTCTTTTTTAGCGCATTTTCTCATTTATGGAAAAAAGGGCGCTATTGTGCTCGTCATGTCCGTCCGTCTGTCCATCCGTCCGTCTGTCTGTCCGTCCGTCCGTCCGTACGTCCTTCCGTTTGTTGGTGAATTCACGTTGCCGAGTATCCATGATACTCAGCAACTAGAAAATTCGCTCTTGTCACTCACTGCAGTGAGTAACAGACATATATTTTTTTTGCACCTGCGATCCTAATTAATATTCCTTCCACTTTAGACATATTGATCTGCAAATTCAGTAGCTTATCTTTATGGCCATTGAATTCGTTAGAACATTTTTGTATTTCTTGGTCTCTTATTCTTGGTCTCTAAGAATAAGAGACTGTCACTGGATCCGGCGTGTTCTACTATCTCCTGTCAAATATTTCAAACTTGTAGGCTACGAGCCACTGTTACGCAATAAGAGTTGGACGCTAACCGCGGCACAGGATCTCATTAATAATTGATAATGCACTGAATCTCAATAATGATGAATAATCTTGTGGCATTTGCCATATTTCATGTAGCGGCATGTGGTGTGGCTCATGAAACAGCATCGAACCATGCGCCAAATATACCGTTGTCCATGTTCAGTTATATACCAACCACCGAGATCTGATTTCTTGACGAGTGACACTGTATAGCCTCGGGAAAACTGTTCTCAAGTTGGCAAAACTGAGCATACAAGATTTCAAAGCACGTCCGAATCTAAGTATTTTTAGTTCTGCTATTTGTCAGAAAATGTAGTATGAATTTTAAGTATTATTTTTTTTTCGGCAGGAAGCCAAACAGCCTTCAGGGATCACGGTTGACTGAATTCAAAATATTCTCTGTATAAACCAGTTGAGGAGCTCGCTTGTGCCGCAACTGAGCTTCTGTGGTGGCCAGAACCCGTTTTATTGAACATTGCTTCCGGCGCAAGATTTTGTCGGCATCCAGGGCTGCTAATTTGATATCAAATTAGAGAAAATACTCAATGATAAAATCGCACAACCTCAGGCCTTTAATACGCGCTTGATTATTAACGATTTGAGCTACATTAAACTGCTTCATTTTCACCGATGGATTTTGTATAGAAGTTACGAGACATTTTATTCGAAGATTCTTTGATAATTTGACTTATATTTTTGCAGCGTTGGCTCGTAACTTGGATCGCAACAGATATTTTTAGAGAGGAAAATCCAGTCAATTGATCGCTTCTAAGGGATAGTGGTAACTATACCTGCAACAAAATTGTAAAGAAAATTCAAAACGGACAATATCTTATGGTTTCATATTATACATTTTAAAGACTTTTAAATTTTTTGTAAAATTTCAGGTATTGAATTTTGAAGAAGTTTTATTTATTGAAAACCTTCCATCTCTCACAGAGTGGCGAATCGTGTACAGTTGCACTAATGCAGGTGTAATTTAACGCGATATTTATTAATAATAACTACTATTCAGTATTAAAAGTTATTATCAAAAACCGTTATTCTTTGATACTCTGAAGTATTTCATTATGTTCAAGTTACCTTCCATATTTAGGATGGACTTGAATGGAGAAACATCTGCAGTTGTTTTTATGTTCCTTCCATCCTCTTTTCTGGCATTCCTTGGAACAGTAGAACACAGCTTTGCATGAGGAACAGAACTGTTTGGCCGCCTTGCGGCAAACTTCGCAACTATTTTTACCCTCTGGCATTTTTAAGGAAAAACTGCCTGCAAAGGATATATTGACAAAATCTGAAGATTGACGTTTTTGTAAAGACCATCCATGAACAATCAGTATTTATCTATCTCAGCAAAACTTGGAGATGGAAATAGTGTTCGATATGTCAATAACTTCGAATAATTCGATAGTGAACTAACTATTGACGGACGGAATACGAAAATGATAGAATATTCGAGATTTGACACCATTAGAAGTAATGAAATAATCTGCTAGGAAAACTTTTTCTTTGAATAACCAATTTGAAGCGAGTCTAACATAGCTTCAAGTTTTTTTCAACTAAATTCAAACTGTAATAAAGTTTTTCGATCATGAACACTGCGGAACTCGTCAATTAATTTGAATTTGACATTCAATTAATTAAAAAATTGATTGGGCAGTGAAAGCCACTTAGCAGCTCAATATGCCACTGCGACACACACCTCAGCCGTGCCCATGGTGTACCCATATACCTGAGTTAAACTAAGACTGGGCTGACGTTTAACAGCTAAGACTGAGTGACAGCTGATGCTCAATGGCTTTCAGAAATAACATACTAATTACCTAAACATATTTTACATTTCAGAAGTATTCTTGAAGTATTTCCTAAACATTTAGAAACATTTGGGCGTTAGTGGCTAGCGAATTTGTCTGATGAATAAATAGTTAGTTATGGTTAAAAAGCTATGAATAAAAATCTATAACGACTGACAAATGTGAAAGAATTTCCAATTGTTGACATCTTCACCTAAATATAACATAATTTTCAATTACCATTAACAAAATGGATGCCCAGAAAGTAGTTTATTTTGTTATCGGGATTCATAAATTTTGATTGAAATTTTGTTATGACTGAAATGAAAACAAGTTTTCCTATTTTCAACTTTTCGGTCGAAGCACATGCTAACGGCTGCTTCGTTATTTAGCTTTCGGTGTATTATTTATTCAACTAAGTTCATATATTATAAATTTAGTCTAGTTTAGTTAGTTTACTCTATATGTATATATATATATATATCAAGTTTAACTCATGCAAACTGAAGCTGTTTCCCAAAGATTTGAACGTGAAAGGGCTTGGTCAAACACTAAAAATTTAATTTCTGCGTTGTGGGTACCTGCCGTTATGATTGTCGAATTTTTTTACCTAGTAACAGATTTTTTAAAAAGGATCCAGCCACTTTGTTGTTCTGCTTGTGATTTCTTTTTGATCTTGTTGGAGTTTATCATTTATTTGAGTTGGAATTATGCTCTGAAAGTGACATTGCTAAAAAGTTGATGTATGCATTGTCAGGATAAATTGCAGTGGACGAAAATATGCAGGTTCTCATGCAAAACATTTATATTTCAGTTACTTTTTGTTCATTATCGAAATAAATAATTAAATAATAGAATTAAATAATCCTCTAGCAAAATAAATAATAATAATAACATCTATCGAAATAAATAATTGCATCGAGAATATTCGTATCAAATCGTTGCAGACTCGTTGATATTCAAGAATCAAAAATGAATATTCTCCAGCAGGAATAATTTCTACCAAATTAATGTGTAAACATTGTTATATTAATAATACAATTCTGCTCTCTGTTACATTCTGTGCCTGAGTAGTGTACAATTGATTTGGATCGTGGATCAGATCACAAGCTTGGGGATTTACATTGATTGGAAGTGATTAACTTACTGATGATTGGCATTGGAGAGGATAGGCTGGTGGAAAAGTTTATTGAATTTGATATTTAAATAAATGCATTAGAGATTTGTTTATTTTGTCATCACAAAGTTCTTTGTTCTTTATTTGTTCTGTAGTCATTAAGAATTAATGTATTATTTTTATATTATAAGCAAAAGGAAGTTTGTTCGAATGCAATTTATAAGACCGTACATGATAATGTATTCGTCAACAATTATTTTCTAAAAAATAATTTTTTAAACATTATTTTCTATAAAAAGATTTCATTTAATCTCGAGTGAAAATTCAAATTGATTCTTGAATATATGTGAGTCCTCTCACACGGAAAAAGTTTGATAAATTGATTTGTTATTATCAACAAATAGTTAACATGTTTTATGCGGATTTTTATAGCACAGCTATTCCTATAGAGTTGGTTTTAATTTCCATATAAATTTGACGATCGCCGTCAAAATTTTTGGAAATTGATCACCGTCAAATTTATACGGAATTTTTTCTATATAAATTTGCTTAATTTGACGATCACCGTTCAATAGACTAGGGATTTATAAATGCAGAAAAACCTCAAACAAATGTTTCACTGTGCGACAATATAATGACAACATTAATCGTGTGTATAGTTCCACCATCATGCATTATTTAGGGACTGAGTCTTGGAATGATTATTTTATCTAATAAACTTGTCACTATAAAGTCAACTTAACCGCAAAATCTGCCTTAATTCGGCCAATCGAAAACCCTACATGTCCATTGATGCCAAAATTTGTAGGAAAATTAGGCAAATTGTTGATGTACTTGTTTTTCAATTGAATGTTTCCATTTCTTCTTATAATTTATTATCATTAAAAAGAACTGGATTTTTTAGCACCATCCTTTTCACAATTTCGAAAAGGCCGGCAGCGCTGCATAACTATCTATCCCTACAGAATTAACATGATAAATACAACAGTATCCCTGGTCAATCCACAGACTAAAGGCTGCAGTCTAAAACAGTGATCACCCAGTTACTTCTCACCAAAAGTTCTGGCCAACTTCTGCTTTCATTTGAAAACAGATTTTATTTATGCAGAAAACATCACAATTCTAGAACGTGCGCAGCTTTTTCATGTATTTTTTATGCAGTAATTTTTTAGCACAAAATCAGACCGAGCACTGATTTAATTATAGAACAGTTTTTATCCAGTCGCTCCTAACCACAATTTTACTCCGTTCTTTAGCAGCAATTTAGAAGAATTCTTATCGTCTCAGAATGACCAGGCAAATAACTACTTTGTCTTTAATTTTTCATACGATTAGTTTTTTATTGTATCACTTTAAATTTCAACTTCAGACGAAGAGTCTTAATTCGATAGCTTAGTAATATTCGGACGAGTATTCAATTTAAACCGTTTAAATGCAGACACACTTCAATTCCGGATAATTAGTTTTTATTTGGTAATTGTGTACCCCAGTTTCAGTCCGAAAACTGGGAGTTGTTCAAATAGGAGTGGTTCTTTTTCTTCTCCCCATACCACAATTTTTGACAACGAGTCTGAGTAAAGACACTCAGGGACCACAATTAAAGACGACGAGTCATTATATAGACACTTCGTCACACAATTTAAGATATCGAGTCTCAATTTCGTCACTTCATACCGCAACCTCCAAGAAGGCACTGCCATGACGTGACTGCTTGAACCAACAACACGTGAATGTTCTCAGCTTGGCCCGTTGCCCAGGTACTCGGAGGCACTGAACGGGTGGCAGGGCACATTCGGGTATTTCAATTGTGTGTTTGCTTTGTTGTTTGTTTCTAGAATGTTCTATGGTATTTTTTTCCGGTAAATTTTCACTATTCATTCCAATTTCACAAATTCTGAGGAATCTATTAGATATTTTCTATCTTATATACTCAAATCGGAATAAAAAAAAAGTTATTTTTGCCGGGACAGAATGCGTCACTAAAAGTTATTCATATATAGGGATTATCATTGAGTTCATCACCTGACATTATTACGGGAATTCGAAACGTGTATTGACAATGCCATCTGAAGGGCAGATGATCGACCATGAGCATCCAAAGTTCGTGATATCGAAGTTCATTACTCGTCTAAAGTTTTAGTGCATCCATTTACAAAGTCTCTACAAAGTTTCCAATGTTATTGTATTATGAGGATGACAGATAAATCCAATCGTCAAACCTAGAATTATTCTATTCGTCAACGTTGCAGCTTCATATATTTATTTATATTCATTCTCAATTGGATCCAATAATTTCAGTCATTCCGTATTTAAAGATACGAAGGTAAACCAAATTAGTTTGATTTAATTAAGATTGAAAATTAATAAAATTATTGACTTGGTGCTTACAAAGCGGAACAAAGTTTGTTTTATCGAGTTAATTTCGAAAACCAATTACTTGAAATAATTGGTTGGTAATTCTTTGATAATCATAACGCGTAGAATTGATACGTGCTACTATAAAGTAACGGTACTGAGCTCCCTTCTCGTACAGTGGATTTAGTGAACATTATTTATGTACATTAATTGAAGGTGGCAAGATCAATTTTAGTACTATATTGGTACTAGTTACGAGAGGAATATAAACACGAATTTATATGATAATGTTAAGAGATATTCCTGCATCCATCTGAGTTTGTTTCAAGGCCATTTGCCAGAGTTGACTATATGACTTCCAAATCAAGCAGATGGCTTGTAAGATCGTAATGAGATTTTATGGTCCATCATAACAGCGAGTAACCCTTTGACTTTGATGATGTTGAAATTTGAAGATATGCAGATACGAGAGTATCAATTTGTGTTAGTCACATTCGTGCGCACCAGCATCTAGTTAGCATAATAGTAGCATAGTTCAAATTAAGCGTGGTGTGAAGTTGGGATTGAACTTTATTATCCGATCTATAAGAGCGTCAAGTGCACTCCACCGAGCTGACAGCCTACAGCGTCCTTCGGAGAATATAGTCAAACAAATTGCAGTATAGGGGCTCCAAAACTAGACATAAATAGCCATGGTTGAATTATGCATTAATTCAACCATCTAATAGTCTTTCCTGGGTAACTTGTCCATGCATTATTGAGACGCAAATATGAGGTCGAATATCTCTGCTACTTCCATTTTTTCATTTATATATGCATATATTTTCGACGATCGGTCAATAATCGGACAAAATTTGTAAAATTACTGGACAGGGGTTAAAAAGCCGGAGATTATTTCGTTCGGTTATATACTCTGTGACTAGTTTTACTTAAAAACCAGACGTAAAAATAAATGAACTACATTACCGGGCATTCTAAAAAAACGAAAGCCTCCTTAGGTTAGGGTTAGAGTTCGAGTTAGATGTGTACAAAACACTTCTTTACGTTGCTAGACACCTTTCTACGGGAGTTAGGTCAAGCCAGGTCAAGTTCTTTTCACAATTTTTTTTACAATTTTACAAAGGTCATTGGGTGAATAATTCTTTATTTATAACTTTTATTCATCCCTACGGTCATCGGTTTAATGTTTGGAGTAACTGAGTTTGGTTTGTTGTGTGTGTGTGACCATCGTGTAAAATCCTTGATCTGCCCAAAGCTCGGCCAGTCGCTACCCTCGAGCTTGTACTCTTTGTAATATGATATCCTAGCCATACATATTTTTTGTTACTGGTCGACGCTTATAAATAAATAGCTGGGTAAGTATGGAAAAATCCATATCGCCATCTCATTTGCGAGTGGAGTAAAGTCTATCCTAATTAGTGAAGAAACGCATAGGGAAAAGCCGAGCCTGTTCGAAGCCTCTCGGTTCTCAATCAGGGCCTTAAGCTCAACGAAGAGCATACCAGTCGTACGCACATAAAGGGTCATTATTTGGACAATATGATTCTGTAATTTTTTTTAGTGGACTGCAGCTTGATTTACCAAGTTACTACGAAGCTTTCTTTTGGATAGTCGCTGGTATCGGCAAGGTAGTTGTTTCACTCGTGTCACTTTAGTGATATCTATTTTAGGGTCTCTTTGTTTTATTGTGTTCTGAGCGCAACAATGAAAAGGGGAACAAATAATGATCTGGGTTTGATGTATGTAGTGCCTCGATGATCGTGTTAGAAACCTCTGAATAAAGAGGTGATCATTAACAAATTTTCGCTAGAAGTTTACATTTTAACCACAATGAAACAAATTTAATTCTCATGTTTATGCGGGTATAATTGTTAATAATATTCTAAGAACAAGAAAAAAAATTTTGAAATTCAATCTGTGTTTCCCCATCAGTATAATTTTTCTTTATGCACAAACACTTATGTTTTTATAATTAATTGCAAATGTGCGCTAAGAGCTCTCAATATCACTTATCAGTAATTCTGGCGCATGAAGAAAATATTGAGTCCGTAATTGCTCATCAACAGAAAACCTAATCAACGAGCAAAATATTGCGGCGTAATCTTGTAAGCCGAGGTTCAATACTTCAGTAAGTAGCGCTAATTAATTGACTGTGTAATTACTACGATTAATGAGTAGCGTTCTAGCATTTAGGTGCGCCTGCCGGCGACAGTGACGTTAATCCGAAAATTTCTAGGATTGTTTAATAGCTCGGGAGATTTTTTGTCTCCCAGTAATGGTTATTACGACTGTTTTTCCTGCCAAATGGACTATTACTGTTTTATGTTTTGTGCCTTTACGACTGTTTTTCCTATCAATCAGTTTTCCAGTTGAAAAGTTCCAACCCAGGTGCTTCTTCATCTTCGTCCCGTGAAGAATTTTTTTTGTCTTTCACGAAAATTTATTTCATGAATAGCAATGATGACAAATTACTTTTGCAGTTGCATGAGTATCTTGGCATTTTAAGTTCTTAATCTTAAATAAAAGTTTGGATTATTCAGTTGTTACAATTTTCTTGAATAAAGAAGGAATCAGGAAAAAACCTCTCATAAGTAATGATTTAAAGTACCACCAATAGCTAATTTGGCTAAAATAAATTGTTATCAGTTTTTGGAACTCCACATGTACAGGTTTGGTTGTCAAATATTCCGTGAGTATAAACCATAACTCTCTATATTGTTTGAACAATCTCACTTTTTGTGATGATTAGTTTGAGGGTACTGACGATCTTGCTATTCCAGGTTGAAGATAATGAGAGAAAGTGCGTGATCTGCCAGGCCATACTTTCAAAACTCGCTAAGTGAACGTGAGTACTTACCCTCTATTTTCTTGTCTATAATTGGTGGATTTTGCTTGAAAGGCCGTCAATGATTGGCTGATGAACTTACGATCTCTCAACTGCTTTTTGAAAGTACAGGCCCAGCTGTTGTATTGTACGAAAGCTTAGAACACGGGTCACAAATCCAATTTGGTGTTTTTGAAAGCTTTACTAAAATTTAAAATTTGTTTGTTGGAATGGCACGAAAAATTCCCATTTGAGACCAACGATTAAGAAACAGCGATGAATTCTGCGCCATTGACTTCGAGGAATTTATATCCTACGTTGGAAACGGTGCACCTGAAGAAGTGAATGAATTTTTTTTGCACTATTTCGTTTTGAGCTTTCGTCGATTTGCACTTTCAACGTCCAAATAACGGAATTAAATGCATTGCGCTTTGGTTGGTTTAAAGTGAAAAACAGAATTATTGGCTGCGTTTTATTTTAATACGCAAGGAACAGTGGATGCTTGGAATTGCGTTGTATTTTACGATGAAGTGAACAGCGAATGACTGATGTGCTGTATTTTACGGTCAAGGGAACAGTGAATGACTGACTGCGCTGTATTTTACGGTGAAGGAAACAGTGAATTACTTACTGCACTGTATTTTACGGTGAAGGGAACAGTGAATGACTGACTGCGCTGTATTTTACGGTGAAGGCAACAGTGAATTACTTACTGCGCTGTATTTTACTGTGAATGATCGGAGCATTTTATTGTACGGTAAAGGGAATAGTCGAAGATTAGGGAACAGTCTTATTTTAATGAAAAGGGAAAAGTGAAAGATTGAGCGCTTTGAATTTTAATGATAACGAAAAGCATTTTGAATAATCTTGCAATATGTTAATGGTTCCTTATTAACTTTGCATGGACCACTTGATAGTATTCAAACTACGATCGAAACTTCGGACCTTCATCAACAGCTTCCTGAATTTACGTACTTATGCGTTTTAAATGACGTATAATCGCACCACTTCAAGATACGGGTTAAAAGTTCTAATCGTGAATGATGAAAATGAAATGATAGACGTGTATAATCGTTATGTATGTACAATACTGTCTCCTGTATATGTGTAATCTGGCATCGAAAAAGCTTTCTTTCTTGAATGATTGCGTCTTAAGCAAGTTTCGTACCACATACGTGGCAGTGGAGTGCGAAGAAAAAATATAGCCATCTTATTGATTTTAAATAAGGAAAACTCATTCAGAAACTAATAATGATTTCTAACTGAATGTTAATAAATTACGGCAATCATATTAGAATAGATGACGATATAATTAGCATCAACAACGTCACCAAAACACAGCCCTCGAACAATTACATGGAACACACAACCATAAATCTTTTCTTCAGGAGTGGCTTCTATGCCAGCCCGACGGATAGCATCCACTTTCCGACAGCAATAAACTCTTCCTGACACCTGCAGTAGAGTTCGCCTTCAGGAGTATCTTCAGCTTCATGTTTCAAAGTGTCCATAGATCTTCTCAATAATGCTCGAGCGAGCTGCATTTTCTTCTTTAGCTGCTGCGTGCCGAGCTTAGCCAAGCCGAAGTTGCGCTTGGCGTACTGCAAAACTGTCTTGTGGAGCTCATAAAATGCCAGGCCGAATTGCGGCACCGAATGCGCCATTGAAGGGTCCAAAAGCGAGCAAACTTTGAGAAACTCTTGGCAGAGTTTCTCCTTTTTAGCGATTTCTTTCCAGTAAGCATCGTCTTTGCTGTCTTCGCTTTCTTGGGTTCTGCCATAGAGTTGCAACAAAGAGTGTTTTACGGCATGTAGATGATAATGGTTTGTATGAACTTTGCTCAGCCATTTATCTAGAAGGGATTCTAGGCCCACGACCGTGGGATTTATAAGCTCTTGGGTTGCTTCTGAGCCCAGCCGCAGGTTTGTTTCTAGAAGCTCTTCGCTGCTCACCTGCTCGCAAATTAGGGCCTCAAATTATATTATGTAACGTTCATGTGTGATTTAAATTAACTTAATCTATGAAATGAAATGGCTGCAAAATAGTTTACGTTCTCTTTATTCTAAGACTGTCGGATGAAACATATTAGGATTTTTGCATTAAAATTAGAAGAGAATTTTCCGACGAGACTTCCTTGAATTAATTTTTCATAGGTAAATAGCATCAAAACAATGAATGGTTATTTTCTGTAAAAATATTTATTGAATAATATTAAATGTTAATATTTATATAATCAAAACGAATGGCTATATTGTGGAAAATTGTGTTATTTGGTGATGATGTATAATGAGACATGAGAATATTGAGTTAAGGCATACTTTTTTATTCTTTTCCTTTCCTCAAATTGGACTTGCTTATGCAACTTTTTAGAAAAATAATTTTTTTCCATTCAGGTGACAGGATCGAATTAATGAATTTCGGGCAATTCACACATAAATATTGTTATGATTACCTGTGACTAACTACATATATACCGATGTGAAGATTGAAAAGTATTCTATATGAATTTTCCTGAAATTATTTACATCGTCATTTTTGCAGAAAAGTTTACCTGGTAGTCACATATTGCACATGCCCACGGAGCTGACGACACGAGGGGCTTAGTGGGCAGAACGGGCTCAGATTTGGGGCATTTCGGGCATATGAGGGCACTGAAGTAGGACCCTAGTTCCGTGGGGTCAGAGCAGCGGCGACAGGCGCACGAGAAGAACTTGGTCTGCAGGAGATGGTCGCGTCGAGCCTTCGTCCCCCACAGAATGTCCGAGAACATGAGCGTTATGGGGGCCTCTGCGCTGATGGCTTCTGTTGCCGTCACCACTAAATGCTCCCCCTGTAATCAAGTGGAAAGAAACATAACCTTCTCGAAATATAACCTTTGGCTGCCTTCATCACTAAATGCTCCCCTTGTAATTAGGTGTAAAGAAACATAACCTTTTGGAAACATAACCTGTGGCTGCCTTCATCACTAAATGCTCCCCCTGTAGTCAGGTGTAAAGAAACATAACCTTTTGTAAACATAACTTTCTGATGCCGTCACCACTAAATGCTCCCCCTGTAATCAAGAGGAAAGGAACTTAACCTTCTGGAAACATAACCCTTGGCCGCCGTCACCGCTACATGCTCCCCTTGTAATCAGGTGGAAAGAAACATAACCTTCTAGAAACATTATCTTCTGTAGCTGTCACCACAAATGCTCTTCCTGTAATCAAGTGGAAAGGAACATGAGAAGACATGGTTGCAACGAGAGAGTAATGATTGAAAAGTCTAGTGTGGAAAAAGATCTCGGAGTTTATGTCGACAAGTTCTAAGAATGTTGAAACGCAAGCTAACACATCCAACAAACTTCTTGGACTAATATACGAGTTCCTCTTATACGAGTTCCTAGATGCAGAAGCGATGAAGCAGTTGTTTGTTGCTGTCGTGCGCTCAAATCTAGAGTTTGGAAACGTTGTGTGGTCACCGAGATTTGAAAAGGACAGAAATTTAATAGAGAATATTCATAGACGTGCAACAAGGATAATTCCAGGCTTGACGGGCAAGTCCTATGAATAAAGATTGAAGATTATGAAGCTTCAAAGCCTCAGTTATCGACGTCTGCGTGGGGACCTCATTGAAGTATACAAGTATACTCATGTTTTATACAAGGTCCCCGAAGGATTACTAGAATTTGAAACAAGAACCAACACCAAGGGCCACGGCTATAAACCAAGCCGTGGCCCTATATCTATACCTATATAACTTCTCCATGCACGCGAAAAATTTCTTCTCGCTTCGAATCACCGACATGTGGAACAGCCTCCCCGACGACATCGTTGGCGCTCCAAGTATGAACGCGTTCAAGAACAGACTAGATAATGCTATGGAAAAATATATGTTCAGATTTGAAATGCCTAGCACCATATCGAACCCGGTGGAAGTCTAGTAGCTACTTCAAACTATCGTCAGTCATGAAAAGATCCGGTCAAATGACACAAATTTTAGATCTTCTGTGAGCGAGGCACGAAAAGGAAAAGAATCGGCGACAGGCCATATCAGGCCTATACTTCAGCGCCGAGATCACTATGTTATGTTATGTTATACCCTTTTGGAAACATACCCTTCGGGTGCCATTAACAATAAATGCTCTCCTTGTAATCCAGTGTAAAGAAACATAACCTTCTGGAAACATAATCTTCCTCTGCCATCACCACTAAATGCTCTCCTTGTAATCGAGTGGAAAGAAACATGACCTTCTAGATGCGATAAATGACGTGATGGTAACACCGACGGAAGAATAATTAGAAATGTTTCTCTTTCTACACTTGACCACTTAAATTTGGCAAAAAATTGCAAAATAGTGCACAAAATATCTGCATATGTTTTTACGGCACACACATTTTGATGATCACTCTGCAGACACTCATTTGGAAGCTCCGCAAAAATTAAAAATGTAAGATTATTTTACAAGAAAAATTTAATTGAGCCAGCTTTCATTGAGTTTTTTGGTTTGCTATGAAAATTGGCTATCAGATGTTAATTAACCACTATAAAATTCAATATGTTTATTGTACAACAAATGCCAGATAAAAAGAAAGTGAACCAACTCAAATGATTTGAATTTTTTCAACGATTTCACTGAAAAAGTGCAACGATTTCGGTAAGCCTCGATTCTCGTGGAAACTACGCAATACATTTCATATAGAGAGGAAATTATAATATGCATTTAAAAATTACTTTTTAAAGACAACACTCCTAAAGAATCCAGTGTCACCAATGTTACACATGTACAATGAATTTCTAATTTTATTATCAAATATATAAAAAAATATTTTATTTTTATTTTATTTACGATATTAAACTTTTTTTTTTCATTTTCCAAAATTATTCATTGAGTCAATTGATACAAGTTTGTCACCGACTTTACGCAAGTGTGCAAAATTTCAGATCGATTGGACAGGTAGAAGTGTGTCAAATATCGATTATAAGTAATGTAGCTGACAAATTTTTTTTTCGATTTTTTAATATGAATTTTTTTCAAATTTTTAAAATTATTTATTCTTTCAATTGATTAATGCATTGTCTCCAACTTTACGCAAGTGTGCAAAATTTAAGATCGATTGGAGAGGTAGAAGTGTGTAAAATATCGATTATAAGATTTGTAGCAGACAGACAAACAAGAAGTGAAGTTAAAGAGAAGTGTTGTAAAATACGCAAACTGAATTGAGAATAATTTACACCTATACCTTAGAATGCGGAATTAGACTTGTTAAGTGTTATAGTTTTACCTCGAGTCTTGCTCTGGTGTTTGGAACGCACGAGTGTCCCAGGAGGGAAGCCATGGGGTACAAGCCTTCCACTTCCCCGTACTTGGACCTGCTTGGTACTGAGTGCACTTGAAGCACGTTCAGGATCTAGCAAAATAATATCATGATTAAAAAATTAAAATCTTTCGAACACGAAAACTCAAATGAACGGTGGATCATAATAGTGCTGTGGGCTCACTCAAAAAGAAATTAAACTTTAACTGAATTACATGATTATTGAGTACACTTTTCACACTATTATATAAAAACATCTAATTCCTTATAATTTCACAATTTTTACAATGGAAAAATTAAATACAATTAAGCACGGAATAGATTATTTATTTGTCTGAAAGCTGGCACCAGACTTTTTACGCAGGGTTAAATTGGACAACAATATTTACGGTTGTAAATATTACTCGGATGGCTGGATGGAAGTCGTGCATTAGTCGTGAGTCGTTAGAATCACGGTCTGGATACTGGCGTCAGTCATAACACGACGGTTCGAAGACAGTCGTACGGTCGACTCACGGTATGGATGCTAGTGGCAGTCATATCACGAAGGTGCAATGAATGTCGTGCGTTAGACTCACGGCATGGATACTGGCGTCAGTAATATCACGAAGGTGCAATGGATGTCGTGCGTTAGACTCACGGTATGGATACTAGCGTCAGTATAATATCACGAGGGTGCATGGATGTCGTGCGTTAGACTCACTGTATGGATGTTGGCGTCACTCATGTTTCGCAGGAAGGGATTCAAGTCTATCCTGAATACATTTCTGAGAGGCTCAATAATGTTCTGCTGATGATCGAGGTACGGGAGGCTGGCTGGTGCGACGAGCGTATGGCGTGCACCGTAGCGTTCCATCAGCGTCTGCCATCTCGTCTTCTCGCGTGCAACTGCAACGACACTTCTGCAAATTGCAATTTTAAACAATCATTAAGCATTTTTTCATCAACTTTAATCCTGCATTCAAATAACAGGAGCATTTCTTTGAATTATTTAGAATTTATTTTTACTGTGGGCAAAAGGGAAAAATTTACCCTGCTAAATTTTTGACGAAGTGATTTTAATGAAAACGCTTTTGATAAATGTAGAATAATATCCTAAGAAATAGAAGATTAAAAATCTAACATGAAATCATTAAACAAATATGGGAAAAGTAAATTTTTAAAGAGTTTTTGCATAGATTAGAAGAAGCATTCAATTATAAATACATTTAAAAATGAAAAAAGTCAGATAAATGTCAAACAAAGCAAGCGTGCGAAGTGAGCAAACTGCTTGCCAACGGAAAGAAAGAAGCGAACGGGTACGCAAAAAAAGAAGACGGTCTGATATAATTGCTAAATATTCCAGTTTCATCTTACCGAGGAAAGGCCAGACTAAATGATAAAATTCATCACAGACAACCATCATTTTTAATTTTTTAGGAAAACCTGAGTTTCAAGCTTCACAAAATGAGCTTGATAACTTTTTCCAAATATTTTAATCAGAAACAAAACAAATATATTAATATTCTTGGTTCCTCATTCTCATAATTTTGGTTTCAGCTTATAACAAATGCCATTTAATTGATATAACAATATCCATTATATTAGTTAATCCTTGAAATAGCATTTGTTTACTATCTGCACCTGTTGCTATATGTCAATGAGATACGAATAATATAGACGACGATTTATTTATACCCAGACAAATAGATAAATTTCGTAGTGTATACCATAAACTTTAATATTATGTTTTATCTCATTAGTGCATTCTTGAAGTGCACCTGAGAGCGGTGATTATCTTGCAGTGTTCATCGTAGCCAGCGCTGGTGAGTGCCTGTCGCCCTGTTACGCCCGCTGCTCGGCTCACTTGACACTCGGCCGCGTGGTGGACGCTTGAGGTGCAGTCTTGGCCACACATCTCCCAGCCACACTTCCCGCACCTGAAAACAATAGAAAATTAAAACTTATTTACTCATAATGTGATATCTAATGTTTAATTAAGTCTTTGAATTGCCAGAAATTGAGACAAAAGTCTTGTTTATTTACTAAAAACTAGGTGCACTCATAGGTTACTTTTTATTAGGTACTATTAAAAAATCACGAATTTAAAAAAAGCGTTTAAGTTTCTACGTAGGCAGACTTGATGCATTCCATTAATATAAAATCTTAAAAGTTCATGGAACATCAGATACCTCCAGCTCAAGGCTTCCCTCTAATAAATTGCCAGCGAATATATCTTTACATTAATCGACTGTCACTAATGTCAAATCTTCTATGAATATATCATATATAGTTGGCAGTTATTCCTCACTCAATTCAGAACCATTGTAACGTTGCAGAAATAAAACTGGTTGAGATTTTCTATGTTCCGATATGAAGGAACTCAAATTCAGTTTCTTCTGCAACAACATCCGGTTCTGTTATGAAAGGCCAAGCGTAAATTTAATATTTTGATCACAGGCAAGATGAAACTAATATTATATGGTACCTACATCATTAGTTCGGTTATATCGTGAACATGAATGCTAATAAATTACTTGACAATTTTCTTTACTTTGGTGCTTTCGATAAACTAAAATAAAAGTTAATAAAATTTCTACATGATATAAAGCCGATTTGGGCAACAACTCAATAATGAATTAACATATTTAATGTCAGGTAATATGAAGGTAAGTTCTAAATCATTTAAAGCCCCACAAGTAACTGCCATCCGATTTGGTCAACAGTTCAGAGACAAACTTAATATTTTAATACCAGGCAAACTTAATCATATTTCTAATAAGTTTAAAACGACACCTGTAACTGCCGTCAACCCTCCTGTAGCAGCCGAGACACAGCATGTCGCTGCAGGGTCTCGGCCCCAGCACAAAGGGCCTCTCCCTGAGCACCTCTTCTTCCGCCTCGATGCTTCGAGTGGCCACCAAAACACGCCCAAACCCTTCAATTTTTCCGACCTGTTAAAGCCAAAACGAACGCTGCCTAAGAACAAGCGATACAATCATAAACGGAAACTAAAAGATCCATGATATTGGTCGCAAATTTTACGAAAGAACTTCTTTAAAGTTCTATGGGATATTCAAGGCTTTCAAGGCATCACTAACTCGAGTATTCCAAGTTTAACATTAAATACTTTAATCTATGTTATTAACTGAATCAGTGTGTTATGCCATTCAGTATGAATTGAGAAATGATATTGACTGCAAAATTTACGAACGAACTACTTTAAAGTGTTATATGGGATATCCAAGACTTTAAAGTCATCACTAACTCTAGTATTTCATGTTTAACATTAAATATCTTAATAAATGCTATTAACTGAATCAATGTGTTGTGTCATTCAATATTAAATAATAAATGATGTTGATTATGACAAACATTGCCTCAAACTCTGAATTTGATCTACGGATATAAATTAAAAGAGAACATGATCTACGGATATAAATTAAAAGAGAACATGATCTACGGATATAAATTAAAAGAGAACATGATCTACGGATATAAATTAAAAGAGAACATGAGAGCTTGTAGATCTCGTATCATTGTAGCAGAATTTTATTACAAATGAATTGAAACAACGAGTTACTAATTCGTGCACAAATATTATTACCTTCAGTTCTTGTAAGATTGAACCTAGAAAAATATGATGAGATTTTTTTAGAAATCTTGCTTGTACCTCTTCGTTTTGAATAAGTTCAAATTCCAAATTACAATGATTCTTGATGGTTAAAAATAGGTTTTCAGCTTATACGATTACTCGTCGATATTCGTGCGGATTCGAGCAAAGCATCCATAAAAATTGAGACGTTTTGTTTCGTTCTTAAAATTGCATGATTTTTTATTGATTTTAATAGAGAAAACTGTTGCTAAATGATTGACAATTAGGGTACAGCGTCCTAGTAAATAATTAGGGATTTATAACAAAATGGCAACCCTTTGACGATTTCATAGCGCCTATGCGTATTACTGCTTATTTTTTGTGTAACGACTCCAGCAGAATCAGTAAATGTTTAGGGTCATGGAATTTATGCATGTGATTTGTATAATAATTTCCCAGCACGTGCTGAATTGAAGGTCAACGCGTGCACTTGAGTCGGCTTACTTTGTAGGGACGACAAGCGTCTTTGTGGGCACTCCAATTATTGCGCTGACAATCGCGACTGCAATAAAAAACTTTGCGGCAACCCGTGCATTTTGTCGAGGCATTTTTGCTGCACACTGCACATGATCCGATTTCATCTTTAAGGTTTTCTGAATTGCTGGTATCCGTCGGTGAGCGATTTTCCGCTCTTTTGGTGAATGCTAGCAAAGCTTCTGTGATGCCGGTGGGTGAAGTGTCTAGCGACTCAGCCCGGCTCTTGTGTGTCGATTCAGCTTTGTTACGGAGAAGGTTTTTTATTTCTGAAAGACCTTGCTCATTACTCAGAGGCTTGTCCGAAGCAAGCGGTGATTTTTCAACTTTGTCGTCCATTTTGATCTGCCGCAAAATCGTACCGAGCTTTTCTTTCAGTTCGTTATCCTTCTTTGAGGATCCGGCTACTTTTTTCCTTTCGGACGCAGCCTTCGTTATTGCGGTCACAAGATCTGAGAAGGTAATTGGCACTTCCGGGTTTTTGAACTTCTCGGAAACATGCTTCAAAACATCCTTCTCAACATCGCTTGCTTTAGATTCGGGAGCCGGAGCCGGAGGGCTCTCACTAGTTCCACTTTGAATGGTAAGTTTAGAGTCAATTTGTTTCTTTCCCGGCTGCCGCGGCGCCGCTATTTTCGCTGCTGTAGGAGTCCTGCTTTTGACGGAAACCGGAGGCGAAACTTCGACGTCGCAGGCTCCGGCATTTGAAGGAGGCGGTTTGTTGGGTCCTTTCTTCTTGCCTCGTCGTCCCATTGCCTGACAAGCAATATCATTCCATTTAGTAATACAGTAATAATACAAATAATATTATTATTAGTTATTTTAGTTTCATATACCGCATATATGTGACGTATAGATTTAGTAGGGTATGTTCAGAAGGGAAAAGGTCGACTGTTTAAAATTGACAATTAATTTATATTTTATGCATTGACGTTTAAAAAATGGGTGACACATCGCTGTAAAACTCGAACACGATCAGACGTATTTTAGACTGTTAATGCAACAATCAAGCACTATGCCAGTTAAGAACTGGAACGAGAAAATATATCCATCCTATACCATCCAAGTAATGAGATGATTTAGAAGATTGGAGATGATTGTTCGTAGGTATTATCTGTTTTCGAGAGCTGAATGAAAGCTAGCAAAATATTTTCATATGAAAAACTGTGACAACAAAAACACGATTATTTCCTCCACGAAATGTATTCACAAATAAAAAAAGCGTCCTGATAATGTTGCCCATTTTGAGATCCGTAATAAAAATAAACACAAAATTTACACATTTAGGTCACTTGAGTTGCGCAGGCCAGGTTGCCATTTTATTTGCGTACAAAATTCAAGTGCCAAGCAGCTGCGAGAACCTCTCCATGCATCTCGCATGTGACAGAAAATATTCGATGAACGTCTTGTCTAAATTTAACATGAAAGGCATTGCTTATGAGAAGAAAAAACAATAATATGCGTTTAAAAATTAATTTTTAAAGACAACACTTCCAAAGAATCCAGTGTCTCCAATCTCACAAATGTACAACGAATTTCTCATTTAATTTTCAAATTAAAAATTTAGTTTTTCAATTTTTTTTAATATATAAATTTTTTAATATATAATTTTTTCAAAATTATTTATTCTGTTAATTGATTCATGCATTGCCTCTGACTTCACACAAGTGTGCAAAATTTCAGATCAATCAGANAGCAGGCAGTGTTTGTGTGACCACCATAGTCATCATTAACAGCAGGCAGTGTTTGTGTGACCACCATAGTCATCATTAACAGCAGGCAGTGTTTGTGTGACCACCATAGTCATCATTAACAGCAGGCAGTGTTTGTGTGACCACCATAGTCATCATTAACAGCAGGCAGTGTTTGTGTGACCACCATAGTCATCATTAACAGCAGGCAGTGTTTGTGTGACCCCCATAGTCATCATTAACAGCAGGCAGTGTTTGTGTGACCACCACCGTCATCATTAAGAGCAGGCAGTGTTTGTATGACCACCATAGTCATTATCACCACCACGTCGTGTTTATTTTAAGCAAAGCAACAACCTGGTGCCACGGGGAAAGCAAAAAGCTGGTGCTGGGGATTTTTAAATATTTTCCCAGTGAACAGAAAAAGTTCGACGTCAAATTAGCACATTTAATGATTATCTGCCATGTTCTGAACATCTTTATTTCCTTACAGTAACTTCGATTCGTTTACCACGAATTGCACAAATAAAAATGTTTTAATTCAGTATCATGCGTTAAAATTTTGGTTCTCTCAAAATTTCTCGGTGCAATAGATGACGAAATTAGCATCCAAAATATTTCTCATTGAAACTGAACTTATTTTTTAGATTCAAATCGATCAATCATTATATAAATAAACTTAATTGCTTCTCGCCTTCTGTCTTTTAATGATAAAATCTAACATTTGGTCACTCGTATTATTTAAATAATTAACATTCTATTAATTACTCATACGAGTAGTTAATGGAATGTTTTTTGCATGCTTGCACTTTACATGTTTCACCATACCATAATATAAACACGAGAATATACGGGCTAATATCCAAGATTTAAACTCATAGTTGTCTCTAATTTTAGCCGTAGACTCCTTCGCGAATGCTTGCCAGACTATTCTCGAACGAGCGAGCGGAGCTATACAAACGTCGTACAGTGCGTGTGAGACGTGATCAGTACTGCCGATTCAGTCAAACTGAGCGTATGAGACGATATCAGTGCTGCAAATTCAGTCAAACTGAGCGTATCAGACGAGATCAGTGCTGTCGAGTCAATTAAACTGAGCGTATGAGACGAGATCAGTGCTGCAAAGTCAGTCTAACTGAGCGTATCAGACGAGATCAGTGCTGCTGAGTCAATTAAACTGAGTTGTTGGACGCAGTTAGTGCTGCCGAGTCAGACGAGTCTCTTAGGTGAGACAATTTTATTGTCAGTTATGAAAAGCGTTTAGGACGAAGGAGAGGCAAAGCCACTGCAGAATTAGATTTGAGCGATTGTTTGAAACGGTAAACAGGCAATCATTCTATCCATGCATAGAATTTCATTTCGATAAATAAATATTTTTCTAGCAATTCTTCGAAATGTTTCCTTTTATGTAAAAAAAGAGGGGCCAAATACCTAATACTTTCGTTGAATGCAATGACTCAGTCATCGATTGAAAACTTTACAAACGACAAAATATTCTTTCATGATTTGAAATGTATTTGATATCCCACAAATACTCTAGCAAGTGTACGCTAGCATGCGTTCTGGTGCTGAAGCCTCCCCCAAAAAATCCTGTCCCTGCAATCTCTATTGATTATTAATTAATCATGCAGCTAGCATAGGAATATCAGCCGTCGATATGCTGGCCCCTTAACCCTCTACCGCCTGACACGAGTAACCGGAGCAATATTGTCACAAGCCTACTCCCAAAAAAGATACGTTGCTAGTGAGCGCAAAATGACTTGCTCTGATGGTTGCCGCCACGTACGACAACTTTAAAATGTTCTCTGTTGCGTACAAACGTCCTCAGGTTGCTACACTCTAAACTGTCGACCGGCGGTAGAGAACACGGACCAATATCTGCCATACTTAGCGAGAAACCCGCTATGGGCCCGTGACCCGCAGTGGGCTCGCTGCCCCATGTTACCCTATATAATGTTCACGCTCTGTATGTCGAATTTCTAGTAATAATAACGACTTTCGCTAGGACGATTATTTTAATATCCAAAAAAGATAATCCACACGTGACCCACCAACCACTAGTTACAATATTAGTCTTTGAATCAATGCTTTTAAATTACGTTAAAAAGCAATTATTGTCTCTTGAGTGTAATTTTAACGCCTTTTCATCGCATTTACTTTAATTACAACTAATCTCTCTTTAAAACTAATCACTTCTCTTTAACTTCACTTCTTGTCTGTCTGCAACAAATCTTATAATTGAAATTTAACGCACTTCTACCTGTCCAATCGATCTGAAATTTTGCACACTTGCGTAAAGTCGGAGACAATGCATGAATCAATTGACTGAATGAATTAAAATTTCAAAACAAAATTAGAAATTCATTGTACATGTGCAACATCGGAGACACTGGATTCTTTAGAAGCGTTGTCTTTAAAAAGTAATTTTTAAAAGCATATGTTTTTACAACAGACGATGGTGTCAGAGCCGTGTTCTAAGTGCGGGAGAGACGCCGGCCTGCGATGTTCGCGCTGTCTAGGCGCGCGCTACTGCAGTAAAGAGTGTCAGAGGGAACACTGGCCGCAGCACCGAGGGCTGTGTAAGCCAAATAAAGTCAGTACAATGGACAATGTGGAATTAAAAAACGGTAAAATTAATTATTTTTATTTTGAAACACGAATAGTTGAAAGATTCATCAAATTTAATTTATGTTCAAAGTAGAGAGTTCAGAATTGAGTGAGGGTTTGCAAGTCAAATGTTAAAAATTAGATACATATTTAATAGTTGAAATGGTAGATAGTGTTTATCGGCCTCAGAGACGCTGATTAAGAGAATGAAATTGACCGATATTTCCTAAGTTTTTCACTATGTTAATTTAATGATTAATTGTTAACAAATTAATTAACCTAATTTGCGGCCAACGAAATTTTTTTATTGTGTTGCGGGGTTTTGTTTGCTTACTCGATAGTTATAATAACAGGTAAAATAATCCATTACTAATATCAGAACTGGTGTAATGAAGGGCAATTTTCAGAAAATGTAATAGTTATCGCTAATCATAAATTAAAACTTCTCAGAAGGATAATTTTAGCTGTCAGAGGATGATTAATTACAACAGATTATTGTTTGCTTATTATTGAATTTTCCATATCTTATTTCTATACAAGATATACTATATCTTTGTTAATTGCATAGGATGATGGAACTCAAGATCTACATCGCCCCTCATCGAAAGAAGAATTTCCATGCGCTCACTGCAGTAAACCGACTGCGCTGAAGTGCTCGAGCTGCCGCAAGGCGTTCTATTGCTCCAAGCAATGCCAGCAGCAGAACAGATACCAGCACAAGCACGAGTGTTTTCCTTTCAAAGTAAGTGTCGAGACTCAGAATTTAGAAGCAAAGAAAATACCAAGCAAGTTCACCATATCTTCAAGACAACAAGAAAACATTTCCTCTGTGAAGAATACTGATATAACTCGAGACGCGGTATAGAAATTCAGGATCAAAGCTTTTTTGACGTTAATGTATTCGAATATATTGAATTTTTTTACGTAAAATAAAGCTATAAAGTTTATATATATGAAGAATTACGGTACTAATAAAAATGTTTCCTGATATATGACTGAAATAATTGAAAGAGAACAGTATTAGTATTCAAAAGAAATCAGTACTGATATGTAGGAAAAAAAAGTCGAAATTTTCGTACATCCTATTTATTCAGAGGCCATTTCTATAATGTACAATGCATACCTCCTCGGCTTAATACAGCTACAATTCATTTCGTTCGTTGGCAATATTGTAAGAACGGGTTAAATAATCGTATAATTGATCAGTAATGTGCAGCTTCATGGCAATCGATCAAAATTTGAAACTTGTGCACTTTGTAAGAACTCTAAGTAGAGGAGTTTTCCTGCTAATGTTTGCAGAATTTGTACCTGTTAAAATTTTTTTCCTTGAAGTGCCAAGTTAATGAAACCGCATTCCATTTGTCGTCTTCGGATCCCATATGTCAGAGATTAAATTGTAATACAATTTTTTATTATTAATCATATTATAAGCATATAAGTATTAGTACATTGCTTTCGGACATGTTGGTACATACATATATAATTCAACGCTGTTACATCTTTCTAATATTTTAAACACATTTTTTAAAAAATTTCCAAAATTTTCACACAGTAACGTCATACAGAATTGTCGGAATAAGAAAATGACTGCTAATAACTATTTTTTTTACTTTTTCCCCCTCATTGACTTGATGCATTGGGCGATATTTGACATTGTCAGTGAGCAATGACGTGCCTTTTGGTAAAAGTCGGTAAATTCATGTCACTTACGTGATCATTACCCATGGACTACGTGGAAAATGCAACATATTAAACAAAATATTTTTGCAAAAATTTTATTTAGACTGTAAAACACATAACGAACCGATTGACCTGGCATAAGGTTGTTCAACAAACCCTATCGAGGTATTCATCAGAAACCCATCAGAATTTTGGACGATAGATTTTTCACAGTTATTTACTACAGTTATTTCCCTATGTTGAAATGATCAACGACGACTTGAAGTTGGGAGAGGGAATTATGAATAGCCGAAGATTTCATTCTAAATTGTAGGACTTGTACATTTAATTATGGTACGGGTTGGTCTATTAACTTATTTTGTCGTGAGGCTCAAGTAGTGGAGGAACTACCCTCTGCCATTTGAATATTTTCATCCCAACAATTTATGTGGATCCGTTTCTTGCACTTGAACCACTATATTTGTACGAATGCACGCACAGATCGAGTAGCAATTTCTTAGACGTAAACTTCTCCTAGTATAAAAAATTTTTAACTGAAAATTTTAATTTACAGTAATGAATGATTGGAATAAATACGCACCCAGGTGCAGGAAAATGAACAGCTCGGGCGGTACTTGGTGGCCACAAAGGACCTCAAGGCTGGCGACGTGCTACTCAAAGAAGATCCGCTGGTCGTCAGCCCTCTGGAACCTCTGACCTTCGTTTGCCTAGGCTGCTACAAACCCATGAGTGATAAGAATAGGTAGGATGAGTTGCTCGAAAAATTCGGTTAACTTAATTGTAAAAAATTCTTCTTGACGACTGCATAATAAAAAGAAATGTTGTAAATTAGCATCTTTCATACGACTTAATTTTCTTGTCAATTATCATAAACTAGTGATAATTTCCTTACATATAATTACGTACGAAAATACGTAGGTATAACTTTAAAACGAATAAATGAACGAATGCGAGGCCTTTTCGCTTACAAAATCTGAGAAAATAAAATTAATCCGTTGACTACAAGCCGTGGTGAATGTAAATTACAATGAGAAGTTAGTAAGGCATTGTTTTCTCCTGTGTCAGAACGTAGCGAAAATCGAAATCAAACTAGTAAGACCAAAGCATTGCAGACAGGCATATGCACCACCATATTAAATAAATAAAAATCTTCTGTCATGGCCTAACTTCCACTTACCCTGATCATTAGCATGCTTTATTGCTGTCCGTAAAATTAATCACAATTCATTTGACTTATCCAGGTGCAGTAGGTGCGGATGGCCGGTGTGTGGTCCGCAGTGTGAAGAGCTGCCACAGCATGTGGACGAGTGTCGTATCATCAGCTCAAGAGGGAGATGCGACTCACTCACCCTGAATGACTATAAGGCTATATTATCCATAAGGTAATGCACAATTTTCCTTAACTAACTAATTTTTGAATGAAGTCTAGTCACTTCAATGTTTGGTTGTGAAAACCATTTTTTATTTACTCTGAGTTATCAGTGGTGAATCATATTTTTAATCGATTATATTTCAGGTGCTCGAGTTTGAAGGAAAACCCTGAGAAACTACAAAAACTCATGGAGTTCCAGACTCACGAAGCTGAGCGACGTCTCAACAAGATGTTCATGCAAACTGAAGGAGAAATTCTTTCGACGTTAAAGAAGATTAGATTTGATTACAAATCGCAAGGCAAAGACGACAATCTGCAAGCTTTCGTTGCACACGTTATGGGAACGATTAACGTGAATGGATTTGAAATACCTTCGGCTAGCGCAGAATTAATGGGGTTATATCCAATAGCAGCTTTTCTCGAACATTCATGCTCTCCAAACACAAAACACAAATTCTCTTCTTCTCATCAGTTGGTGCTTAAAGCAGCCGTTGACATCAAAGAAGGTGAACACGTTACAACAACCTACACCAAACTGTCATGGGGCACAAGTGCTAGACGTAAAGACTTACTGGAAAACAAATATTTCCTATGTTGCTGCAAACGATGTTCCGATGCTACAGAGTACGGCACATTCTTCTCAGCGCTCAAGTGTAAAGAATGCAAAGATGGATATTGCCTTCCTGATAAACCTCTCGAAAGTAACTCGCAGTGGACATGTGATTCATGTAAAGCATTCATCTCATACAAGGATGCCGATGAACGCACAAATGCTTTCGGTGGCCTCGTAGAAACCGCGATGGTTAATCCAGAAATTTCCCAACTTGAATATTTGCTGAGAAAAATTGCAGTTACGGAGGTTCATCCGAACCACTTCCACTTATTCAAACTTCGTCACACGCTGCTGCAGCTATACGGCCGAGGACCGATGGCCTCTAAAGAGGAGATTCTGGTGAAAAAAGAGACGATGTGTCGCGAATTCCTGGAAATTTGCTCCAAATTGGATCCTGCAGACGGGAGACTCGGTCCTTACACCGGCGTGGTTTTCTTCGAGTATCACGATCTTGTTTTAATCCGTAGTAAAAAACTTGCGGACAAAGAGTATCCTGATGAAAAGTTGATTGATCAGTGCGTCGACTTCGCAAAGAAACTGCTCATAAAATGCATTAAAGTTCTGCAAGACGAAGAAGAAACGTCGCCCGAAGGCCTTCTTAGGATTGTTGCGCAGAAAAAATACGCTGAGATGACCTTGCTGACGTCAAAGAATAATTCTAGGAAGTAGTGCTAACAATTGTTTTGTGAAATTATGAACGTAAATTCGAAAATTGGTCTCTGATACTCTGTTATATTTGCTGACAGTCGCTGCTAAAAAATAATTCAGTTAACTTGAGATCGGAAAATCTTTGGAATAGATATACTCCTCGATTATATTAACTCCCATCGACATTATTGAAAGTGAAAATAACTATGAGGAAGTATTTGGAATCTAGAATTCATGAATTCAATTGCGAAAATCGTGACTTTTCAACTTTTCTTAGTAAAATGTGATGTATTTATCGTGCCGTGTTGCAACTCCAATTATTACAATAATAACCAGCAATTTTAACAAAAATTCAATAAAAATACGATTAGGGTACAAATTTTTTTAGAGTAAATGTAAAGGATTTTATTGTAGGTTAGTCCTTTGGGAACGTTTGCTAAGCTATTTCAAGACGTGCCATAATGGCAGGATAAGAAACTAATATCCCATGACGTACGGTTTCTAGAAATAAAATTGCACGAAAATATATAGGAAAAATATACAAGGAATGATTCATGATATATACATGAAATAACAATGTATGAACCAAGACAAATCAATAGCAATGAAACAGGTTAATCGATAATTTAAGTAATCAAATAAATTTAACTAACCAAATAGCTTGGTTCCTCGGGTACAACAGGCATTTAGGGTTAAACACTGAATGCTGTGGCACATGAGAAATTAACTGCGTCTAGTATAGGCTAATTTTATTGCTACAAATTCCAGTGAACATGGAAAATGGCTGCTACAGTAAACGTGAAAGTCGATGTTGTGCATTGATTTTCCCTTTAGTTTTAAACTATGATATATGAAAATAGTTTTGATAATTGATAATTAGAGTGCAAAAATAATGAGAAGAGCCTATATGAGCGAGTTTGAAGTGCGAGCAGGTTTTTCTAAAAATAAGTTTCTGTTTTTTTTAGAAACTAAAGTTTTCTATTCAAGTTCGTTCCTGGAATCTGTGCGCAATTTTTTCACTAACTTCAACGTACTAAAAAAACGAACCAATAATCGATCAAAGTTGTTGTGTACAGGGTGACACAAAAAAAACAGAGCTCACTAAAAGTCTTATAACTCCTGAAATTTTATTCAGTTTGAAACAAAAATTCTATGGAATTATGTACAACCTATGTAGCCAACATCTGCAAAATCTCAATTCTATACCACAAAAACTCTTTGTTCTACAGCCGCTCAAAGATATGTTCCAGATTGCAAATGTCTTTTGCTCTGTAGTCCAAGGCATCTCGAAGCTCACACGTGGTAGACTCTTAGATCAATCCGTCTTCTTAATGAATCTGAAACAAATAACAGGATTACTTGAGTATTGTGGAAATTATTCAACTTTTTATGAGCTCTGTTTTTTTTGTGTCACCCTGTACAAAATGATTTAAGTGATACCATGCGTGGCGAATTCATGATGCCATTCATTTAAAGAAAAGCGTGGTGAAAGTGATACCCTTAATTCAAGAAATGCCACATATAACTAAAATTTGTCGTAGAAAGTAAGAAATTGTGATCGAAACAGAGAAGTTTAATATCCTAAATACTTCTCATTTAATTCTAACCAAACACCCTGACTTAATTTATGTATACGGCCTAACCGGTAGTTAAACTTTATCTTAACGATGTCGAGAATATGCATGTTTAAGTTAAGACTGTCGAAGAATTGATGAAAATAAAAAGAGCCGTAAAGATAACAGCTTCCGCGCATACTGCTACAGGCGACCAAACTTGAAAACATAGAAGCTATTGCAACCGCTGCAGGCTTTCCTACGTTGCAGTGAAGTACTGTTTGATTTGTTGATTTGCCGATTGGTTAGATTTTGAATTGTAAAAGAACGGAAACGCAAGCCATCACAAGTGCAATTTTAATATTAAAAAACAGCAATATTGAAAAATGATGGTAACAATCAGTTCTCCGCCGTGTTTCGTGTTTTAAATACCTATAAAACTACATATAATTGTATATACTGAATACTGGCACATATTGCTGTAAGATCTTTCATTAAAAATTTGACAACGATTGTTCTATTTTACTTTCAACACCGCAAATAAAACTTCATATCTTCAGGCCTCAAAAATTCCAACACAATAAGGTATTTCCGTATTTTCAAGTAATCCTTGTAGCCTCTTGTTGACTAAAGGCAATGAATAATTTTTCCCCCAATGATTGACACGAGTGTCTACCTGGCGAAGCGTTCGTCGCTGCTATTGGGCCTCAGGCCGTTACCGATCAATCAAGTAAGTGGCCGGTGTGTCGACAAAACGCTAGCACGAACGTATCTCTGAGTAGAGCCATAAAAGAAGCTGACGATCAAGGCAGTCCATCATACAGAGGACTTGTCCATAAATTGCCAGCCATCACCGAGCCTGATAGAATAGGGCCCTGGACAGCCCTAGATTGGATCAACTGAAATTTCCAAATGGCACTGTAGAGTGCGTTAACCTTCATGTGGTGATGAAGAATCGTTTCGAAGTGCATTCAAAATAGAATAATTTACAGTTTAGTTCACTGCTAGAGATTCCTAATGTATTGGAAAGGTGATCTGTCAACCAATGTAGACTTCATTGCAGTGGTATTTAGTCTCGTTATTTTTTACAGACAGAAACAAGTACGAGTTACAGAGTGAACTTTAATTTCCTCATGTCCATCAGCGAGGCAAACAAACCATTGCAAAGTCTACCAAGCTAGTTCATACGACGTATAATGTGGTAGTTTTGAGAATAAATACACTACCAAGGCCTGAAATGAAATTCTTCTGCCGATATGTCCGACTTGAGCGCATTAACTGACTCAGCAATGAGCCAATAACACCGGTGGAATGACAGTATCATCAGGCGACAGCTCACTGGGTTTCGTGAGACTTTTGCTCAGAAATTAATGCAATATTGATCGATGATCCTCTGCCCAACTGCTACCAGAATGTTGCTGCTGCCGGTAAATGAGAATGTCGATGTCGTACCGAAGATTTGGCAAGCCGAGCCTCGCGAGCTATGCGGAATGCGCTGGTCAATCAGCGGGTAATTTTAACTCTGAATGGTAACTATGAATTACTACAATATATGACACCCAGCAAATCTGTGCGATTTTTACTGTAATGAGAGTTCTGGAATGTACCAATAAATGAATAGGGTAACATATGTGGTAGCGAGCCCACTGCGGGTCACGGGCCCATTGCGGGTTTCTCGCAAAGTATATGGCAATTATTGGTCCGTGTTCTCTCCCGCCGGTCGACAGTTTCACTGGGATGAAGTGTACGGATTTACGTTTTGCTAAGTGTTTGCGTTATTAAGTTATTTGTGAATTAATGTTTTAGCCCAAATAAAAGTTTTTTTGCTGCTAAAAAAATTGTTTTCGATTACTGTAGATGAAGCTTTTGAAATTACCGTGAATTATATTTTGAAATTATTATTCATAGGGATAATTTTGAGATCAAGTTTAGACTATTAGCTTTTAAAATAAAATGTTGACACGATATAAATTGAAATGATACCTAGTGGGGCAACGAGCCCATTCGTGTCACGGGACAAAGCGCCCATGGTGAAGTCTTGTGTTATACATCATTAGTTTTGTCTCAATGACCTTTACAAAACTATGACTAGCTTTATGAATCACAAATTACACTTCATATTGCATGATTTTTTTATTTGCCGCCTCAAAGCAGCAGGTTTAGTTTCTAGTTATGCGTATTTATGACCCCTTATCGAGTTATTGACTCTTGCCTTGCCACAAGTTGATTTCAGTCAACACCAATGAGCCAAAAGTTGAAGAGTTTTTATGGTGTTAGCTGAAGTCACGATTAGGTAAGAATTCTCTGCACATAATATCAGGATTAAGGACGAAACTGGAACGAAGTTTTTTTCTGATCAACTAAATACATTTTTTCTAGTGAAGGATACATTCCTACATGTCAAGGACGAATTTTTTATCGCAAGGATATATTTTTTAAGTCAAGGATATATATTTTTATGTCAATGAAATAGTTTTCTTCAAGTCAGTGATGTATTTAAGTGTGATGTATTTTTCAAGCCAAGAGTATTCCAGTGATGTTTTTTTTAGGCCAAGAGTTTTTTTTATCAAGTTAAGGATATGATTTTTTGAGTTGTTAATAAATGAATTAATGTCATATTTTTTATTACATTTTTCCAGGGATGGGGCAATGGACCCATTTAGACACTTTTACAAAATAGTGTTTCATTGAAAACTGAATAACTCTATAGGCATCTAATTCACATCATACATCCTTCGTTAGTTGTACCTTAAAACAAAACAAAGAACCACCAACTTTATCAACTTCATCAAAAATTTAGTTAAAAAAAAGGGGGGGGGGCGCGCTGTTTCATGTTTCCCTAATAACATGTTTGCATTACTTTATACAAGCCAAACTGGATGTTTATTTCTTAGAAAATAATAATATCAAAATTAAATAAATTATAGTCTTTCTTTTTGGTAATGCGACGAAAAGTTTCAGCAGAAGAAATTTTCGGCATAATTTCAGGTTTGCTACCAATTGAAAGATGAATTAAATTTGTCTTCAATGCAAGTAACCAGATCAGTAATCTGATTATGGTCAGAAGTTGTCCTTCTCGTGTTTACTCTGAGACGTGCTTCATTGTGTAACTATAAAAAATATAACTCAGTACTCACTGCAGTGAGTGACAGAGAGCGCATTTTCTCGTCGACGAAAACGTGAAGTCACGGACAAACAGACAGACAGATGGACATGGCGAGCATAATAGCGAATTTTTTCCATAAATGAGAAAATGCGCTAAAAAGATAATTCTTCTGATGTTAGACTTGCTGTGAAATTATCACCCGTAGTGCCACAATAGAAAGTCTCCTTGAAATCTATTGATGTCATTATTTTTCCTCAAGTCGTTGCTCAGTTTTGTTCCAGTTATTTGGTTCTGGAATCAGGGTTATTTCATTCAGAAACTTTAATAAAAATGTTTAGGTAATTTATTGGCAATAAAGTCGTCTATAGGTGGCATAAAAGCCACTCAAAAACTGGAAATAATCTTTATTCTAAATCCTCATTATTTATGCACTAGTGAACACACAACCACATTACTACACAAAACAAAAAAAAAAAAAACAACGATTACAAATTACAAAGTAGTTTCAATGCTTGCCAATATAAGCTCAAAATCTTCGAAGCAACCAATTGTGAAAGGCTTTATTCCGTTCCAAAGAACAAATTTAATATTATGAAAAATAAATGAAAATTTACTACAGATAAACACTGATTACAAACTAACTGCATGGGGATAAAAGCTTATATTCATTCAATTGACAGTCAACTGAACCTTGAAATAAGTCCACTGAACGTAACATTACTACGTGGAAGCTATTAAAATACGATGACCTTCAAAATGCGGGTATCGAGTGTAGCAAATTGAAGATATCAATTATCGGGAGTATGAATAGGAAATTCTTGAATCAGGAGGGTTAGTAATCAGTAAGATAAAATACCGGTTATGGAACAAGTTTCTGTAAATTGTCGAATTCAACCTCTTCTCTGGCTGTCTTCCGCTTGCACAAATCAAAATCAGTAATGAATAATTTATTCATGTTTGCTAGAAGTCTGTACGAGCCCCAGCCTAATTAGCGTTATGTCGTATCGTTCTAGTGAGAAATTAGCGATATTATGACGTTTTTGCCCTCATCTCACGCTGCGTTGGGGCATTTTCGAGCTGGAGATTAGCCTCATATATCCAATGCTGCGTTTATGAGCCAGAGAAGGCTTAGCTACCTTCCCGAGATTGC